CGCGCGCGGTTCGCAAATTAGCGAGTGGGTTGCCCAGTGATCGCATTTATTTAAATGACTGGCAATTGACTTCTACTCACGTGATTTAAAAGACTTGTCCAAGGCCAGGTTGTCGAGGGCGTGATAAAACTCGAAAACTGACTGTCCCATGAGCTCCTCGCTGTTCCAGCCGAGATACTCGGCCAGCCTTGAAAACAAAACAGACAAGTGGATGTAATAAACGATAGTCGTTAGGATTTATGGCGTCCTCGATGTAATCAAACTCGATTTTATCAATTAACGTAAGGAACGCGATGGAATGATCGCAAGTCAATGGATCAATCTTTTACGGTTACGTCGCTTCTAAAATGCACGTGCCATATATTCAGCGAGTTGAAAACTGGGGTGTACATGTAGAATACTTACTTTTCATCGGCATAGGTGAACTTCATGCTGAGGCTGTGCTTCGAAAGAAAAGTTTGTCGTCCCAAGGGTACCTCAATATTGCTAGGATGCGGTATGGGGCACCCTACGAGCACCAAGGAAGCACCCGTGTCGGCCTCTTCGGCCTCGTCTTCGCTCTTGCGCTCCTCGTCGTCGCTTTCCATGGAACTTGACACAGGAGTGCGAACGTACGTCACTCTGCCGATACAGTGGATCACCTGACACAGAAAAACATTGCATAATTAGACGATTCGAGACCAATTGAGATTACGAAGCTTCTGGAGAAAACAGGCTAACCTTGTACGTAGCGCTCTTTAAGTTGACCTTCCTTCCTTTGTTGGTCAGAGTGCACTTGAGCCTCAGGAAGAAGCTACAAGCTCGTTTATCATTATCCTCGGTTGGCTTGGAGGAGAGACATTCCCGCAGCTCATCGTGATCGCAGGGATGACTGTACTCGTACACGCTTTGACCCATCATGTCCATCTGAAACACGCAAAGAGAGAATCCATGTAGAGATTCGTGGAGAATTCATGTAGAATATCTAGAATATCTTCTGAGATTGAAACCTACCTGAGAAACGCCAAGATAATCGCTGACGTTCTCCGAGAGATAGACCATGTTCCCGTCACTCGAAAGCACCAGCATAAATCCATTCAAGGCTTTGGAGAACAAGTCGTCCATTTCACTGGACGTCTCCGATTTGGTCACTGGTGGTGGCACTGAAACAACCCAGGTATCGATTACGAAACGTTCCTTTGTGTGGTTTATTTCTCCGTTTTGTATATCATCGCCAGTTCCTACTAGATCTCTCTTACTATATTATTATTATTTACTGAATACTATTAATAACTCAAGATTGCAACTATGTTTACTCCGATCATCATTACTCTCCTACGTAAACAACTTCTCAACGATAAGAGAAAATCGTAGAGCTTCCATTCGTGGCCCAGTTTTTAAATAAAAATTTGTCTAGCTGTGCGTGGAATTTATTGGGAATGAGAATGATTTCGTAATAAGAACAAGCACTTACTGGTATCGGCCACTGAACGTACTTTGAGGTACGCGATCGCGAGCCTCATAACACTGGCCTTGTCCAGGTGAGCTGCCTGGTCAGGTGGAACCGGAAGCGCGGCGGCGAGCTCGGTGAAAATATCCGTCTCTTTGCTTCGACGACATCGCGCGGCGTCCCGAGATTTTTCCTTTCGTTTCTCGTTACTCCTGCAACATAAACAATACGGGGGTCCCATCGATCAAATTGCCTCGGTGAAACGGTCTTAAATGTAGGGATGGCCGAAAGATAAGGATTGAAGAGTTTCAGTTGTTTTGGAGAGGACACAAAAATATTTGTATAGCTACCTAATCGACATTGCGAAAGCTACCAATCGAACGCCTAACGATTTCTCTTTTCCAATACACGCGGTGATTTAAGATTGGTAAAGACAATCTATTTCTTTTGTGTGCCTCGTAGACTTTTTTCCATGACGAAATATTTTGGGAGCTTCTCAGACGATAGAGGTACCACCTGATCGAATATTTTGTTTTTGCTCGTTATCGTTACGTAAACCTCTCCAAAAAATCGTCTGGACTATCGATCAACGATCACGTTTCTGTAGACAACAAAATCACGACCAAGGAATCAACGGAGATTACAAAATTGTAACGTTTCCAATCCTCGGTTTCGTCATCGCGATTCGCGTCGGGCGTTCGTGGCCGAGCGTAGATTGCAACAGCAAACGAAACCCACGAGATGGACATCGAGATAAAGCGACGTAAATATCGAGTCTTAGGTGAGAGATTTACCATCGTTCGCGACTCGTCACGTCTCCGACAATCTCGAACCGGTCTTTATCTCCACCATGAAACCGAACTTCGAACCGTGGTCTTTTCCTTTTCCACGGAGATTGCTTCGAGCTACGCTCGAAATTTTCCTCGTTGCTCCCATCGATGTTTATTATTTGAATAATGTTTACAGCAAGGTATTCTTTTGTGCGATGCATCTGGATTAATTCAAGAAGAGTTCATTCGTATTGTAAATTTTGTGATAAATAAAATACGAAATATGAGTCATGGGGATTCGAACTCAGGTCCTTTGGATTATCAGCCAAAGCTTTTCCCTGATGGATCATCCAGTACTCTCGATCATTTCTTTGATTATTTCACTATTTGTTATCGAGTTTTTGGGCCTAGATTTGGTCGACGAAAATTGGACTCTTTTAACGATATTTTCTTAACGGTTCCCCAACTGTGAGATTGTACTCGTGAAATATATCTGACTACAAAAATGTGGAACGCCGTCTTTTTTCCGCTGACTAATGTAACAATACTTCTTTATACACACAATCGTCCATTCGGAGCGATAGGGTAAATTAATGAGAGCGATTTGCGTCACGGTGCTTTCAAAAAGAACCAAAGATTATCGCGTAAAAATAAAGTGGACACGAAGGAGGTAATCGACTCGAAGGAGGAAAGTTGTCGAAACAAAAAAGAAATTAGGCATCTGCTTTCCGCTGTCCTAATTGGAACGTTCAAACAGTGAGTCACGTTCGGCAAAATTCTCGGGGAAGAAAGTTGGCGCACGAGGCGCACATTATCGCTCTCTCAATATTTAGGCAATCGGGGAAAACCGTAGTTGTTTTGAATATTCAAGTACTACGTTCGGTTTTCAATAAGTATTACTGTCGATACAAGAACAAAGGGAGTTAACGCAATCTAGTTAGGGCTCTGAAACAATGAAGATAGCTAACACGCTACGACGAACATCACCCAACCAGAAGATACCGATAAAAGTATTATTCAAACGTTGGTCATACTTTCGAGAAGATCGCTCTTTACGTCGTTGCAATGTTTACACGTGTGATAGATTTCGTGTTTACCAAAGGACATTATTTTGTTTGAAAGAAGAAATGGTAACAACAGTTCAAGAGTGTTAATATTCCAAGTTTGAACTAGATACTCAAAGATGCTTCCTACTTTTTAATTTCCAATACTTACCACTAAAGTGGCCTTTGCGAAATCGTTTAAACTACCTTTAACATCGATCATCTTCATAAAAAAAAGTCAATTAAATACATCCTCAAAGTACGAATGCCTAACTAAGCATACGATACTCCAAGAAAAAAGTTCCTCAAAAGTGAAGACCGGAGAAATACCAAGTTCTTCTGTCCCTTCCTAAAAGCGCCAGCTTTTCTGGGCCGACGAAGCGGATATCACAGCAGACAATCGCTCGCCGTGCTACAAGCGCTATTGCTCCGTTGGGCAATTTTCGATCGGGAAATAAGAGATGCCCGTGGCGCTCGAACGGTTAAGAACTCGACACTTTATTTACCGGGAGCCTATTTTTACGCTTTTTAATTGCAGTATTTAGCTATTCGAATTCATTTACTGCGTCGATGGTTGTCTACGAACGATGTTCAGTATTTGGAAACATACTTTCGATGTACCCAGTAACAGTATGGTGGAATTATTGTCAGCCTAGCTCGGCGTACGCTACTGTAGAAAATTCTTTTTTGAATTAAAGTCTGTTTCTAAATAGCCCGGTAGATAAAGCGCTAACAAAATCTAAAACACCTGAAAATTGTGATTCTAGACAAAAATACCTCTTACACCTCGGAACCCTTCCCCATCGAGGCTCTCCTAGACAAAGGACCAAGCTGACGAAGCATTAACGCTAGGTCCGACTCAGCCTTGGTCCTCGAAGCAATCTGAAAAGACCCCCCGATCCCTATTCCAATCAGCTCCCCACACTTACAGGTAATCCTCGAGCAACTGTTCGCCCTCGTGCTGCCAGTACTCGTTTCGCAGGTCCTCGTAAGCGCAGGGAGGCAGGACATTCGGGTCGTACGAGTACCCGGGCTCCCAAAGAGGGCAACGATCGCTCGCGGGACACTGGAGCCACCGTTCCTCGTTGCAGAAGTCGAAGCTCCGCTCGCATCCGTCGCAGAGCTGTGGATCGAGCCAGTCGCCAGCGAAATCGTTTCCTCGAAGGACGCGGGTCGTCGGGAAAGCTGGCGGATGTTTGGGATAATAGGCACGTTTCGTCTTTGGTCGACGGAAGTGAGGATTATTGGATCCTCGCGAGAAAGTGTTCGTCTGGGATTTATCCGACTCGAAGTAGAGAGCCAGGTCCTCCACGTCTATGGGGCCCTGCTGGCAGTTCCGAGGGGCAGTCGGGTCCGAGTTCACAGCGCAATCACGAAACTGATTGCAGAAGGAAGGCAATTCATCGATACAGACGGAGGGAAGCGACTGCGACCGATCGCAACCGAACGAAGCATCGTAAAAGCCCGGGTTGGGCTGGAAGTCGGCCTCGGCTTGATCCACGAAAGATCCCTCTAATGCATCGTTATCTACGCTCTGCTGAGAGGCGAAGCGACAGTATGTCCAAGCGACATTTTCGTGGATGTCCGCGTACCCCGACCGTTTACCGATCCAATCGGAGCAACGACCTACGTCATCGAGCTGCCTATCGATCGGCTGCACACGTGGCACGATCATCGTTCCTCAAACCTCCTTCCTCTGGACCGTTCTCCAGAGATCTTCTACTCTCTAAACGCTCTCCCGTTACTCGCTGGAACGAACACAACTTTGGACCGATTCTAGGTCGAGGAGCCTTCCTTTTCCTTTTGGTTGGACTGAAAAAACTCTCGCCACTCCTAGGTTCGCTCTAGCTAGTAGATTCTTTTCTTTTTAAGGCCGTAGGATTCTTCCTTTCCTCTTTTTGGGATAGAGTCTATTTCTGAGATTACACTAGCTACAATAACCTCCCTCCTGTTCCCTCTCGCGCTTCAAAGATCGACGCGTTATCTCGCCTTGTTGTCAAACCGATCGTGCAACTGTTCCACGTATCGCAGATTGTCCGAGCGGATCCTCGAGTGCGATCACCGAGACAGTTCCCTCGCGACGGTGATGTATTCCTTGAAGAGACTCTCACGGAAGGACCTCATGGTTTCTAAACGTGCTCAACGGGTTGACTCGGGCCGTTTCGATGACGATGGAAGCTCGACGCGACGGGCAACGCGATACTGAACTCGGCGAGCCAAAGTATTTTTCGTCTGGCGCACTCGGTACGATGGCTATCTTCGGATGTGATAAGGATATTACGTATCGCCCGATACACCTAGTTTTTCACGCTCTCGAGTACCAAACGAATCAGATTTAAGCTTTTAGACCTGGTCACCCTACCTTCGTGATCGCCAACAACGAAATCCAATTGGAAAACCTTACGGCGTTCCTTTCCACACGAATCTCTGCGCGCGTGGAACGTTTTTTTAGGAGATCTTCTAATCGAGTCGTGACCGACTATCCAGCCGTGGATTTAGATAGAAAAATTGTAGCATCAACAGGATGCTTGCTATGAATTTTCCTGGCCGAAGGATGTCTATCTCTTAACGTCACAATCTGTTAGTATAAATTCAACCATATCGGTATGATTAACACAGTCTTTGTTCGAGACAAAAGGCCATTATCAAAATATGACTTCATTCAAGCTACGCTACATTCTGATACATTCTACAATGTTTTCTACAAAATTTTATAATCTCGAAAAATCTATTGTCCCGAGTTATGGAGTCTGCCATATCTCTTCCAGATAAACCGACGCTTCCCTTTCTGTGCGCCGAGTGTATTCGCACGTGTAACTGTACATTTTTTTGTCTAGCGCACTTTCAGATAGCTCTAATCCTTTTCAAACTGTTCAGTGGTCACGTCCCAAGCGCCCCGCCCTGTATATAACGCAACCGAATGTTTATTAAGATATTTGTAGATATATAAAAGTCTCAGACAAAGTTGTACGTTCGCTAATACGTGTGCACGCGCGACCATCGCACACGAAGGAAAGCGTCAGATTATCTGAAAGCGATATGGCTGCGGGAGCTCCATATTTATTCTTTGATTTTATATGTTTTTGAGGACGGAAGTATTAAAAAAAAAAAAAAAAACAAATTGTAACGCATTCTAGAATTTATCAATTTTACTGAAATTATATTTTTATGAAGAACTCCTGTGTCTCGAACAAATAATATTAATTATAATGTTATGGTTTTATATTGAGTACACTAGAATTCTTCTCTTGGGGTATTCGTGGTAAAACATTCTAAAACAGGAGCAAAAGGAATTCAGCCGTATCTGAGCCAATACTTTGTACATTCTCGCGGACTGTTCAAAACAATTCTATTTCCTGCCACCATAACGAATTAAAGAACTACGTTTAGCCTTACTTTCATTTACAAAGGACTTCACGATTACACGACGACCTCGAGGCTATCGAAGCTAATCTACATAACTCCATAGCATTTTATAAGCATCGGTGACCGTGTTAATTTTACCTTATAAAATGGACTGTTATATAAATCAACAAACAAAAAAAAAAAAAAAATAAAAATTAATGGTAGACGATAACGTAACGAAAAACGAAAAACGTAAACGAAATTTAAGAATAAAGGTTGAGCGACTATTTGTTGCAACGATGAAGTTTGTTTGCATCTGGGAACAACAGAGTAGATATGCATACCATTGCTCATGCGGGACCCACTTGTCCCTCTTTTACTTTGTCACTCTTTGCCAATCGATGAACGCTGCCAGAATAATTAACATTCGAGCAGGCTGCCTCTCCGTGCAGTTTCGCGTGACTTGCGTACAGGAATCTCCTTTGAAATTTTATTACAAACAAACCATTTTGGAACGGCTCGTGGGTTCAATGAAATTCAATAAAGTGGTATAAAATAAAATTGGAATTCAAAGGAACAAAATTTCTCGAGCACGGGACCTCAACACCTCGAAAATTGAATTTTAAATGGACTTTTTTTTAGATCCAATCCAGCGATTTGCTTTGGTTGCCCGTTACTTTGGTAACATTTAACGATCTTACAATTACACGAATGACGAAACATAATATAAATATCAATATGGTGTATTCGTTATTTCTAAAACGTATTGCGATCCTAAATAACGGTAAATCTCGATATAAAAGTAAAGGTGCACATATATGCCTGTATCCCTCGAGAGATTAATACCTCTGACCTAGCCTGAGACCCTTCGAGTCAAATAATTAGCGTCCGTTCGAAAGATGACCTCTATAGGATGAGTTCAGATCCAATGAGTCGCCCAGGGTTTCCCAAGATACTTGTTCTTATCCTACTTAATTTTGTCGTAACGTTTTATTTAGCTGCCCACAGTCATTGGAAGCCTCCTCGATCGACGAGAATGAATCGAATGCGAGTAAACGCGGAAACGAAACTTGTCTCGAACCATCTTCGAAGTCAACTATAGTGGATTGTTTACGGAATTGCTCGAGGCACTGGTTATAAATGTTTCAAACGCGCAAACACTTCGACCTTGGAACAATTCCTGCGACAACGGCGTGGAACGGAGGCGTACGAGAGCGAGGAACAACCTTCGAATCTCGATGAACCGAGGACACGCGGTGAAAGACCCGATATAATGTTTACTGCGCAACAGAGGTCACGTTTTCCCTCCAAAATATCATCGAGATAAACAAAATGTAACAATCTCGCCACGATGTTTCGCATCGATATTTAATACTCATCGACAACGTAATCTCCTGTATACGTATTATTCTATTGTCCCGATACTGTCGTACTATCGCGTTACTTCGGTAGATATTGATTTCCTAGACGAATCGTGAAATTTTAATCGTCAGTTAACGAGCCATCGAGAACAACGCCCATATATTACGTTTATCTTTATTCAGATATGCGCAGATGTTCTTAATTGTTCCGATACAAGGAACTCCATCTGACGAATGACTAAGCGGAACCGGTTTAGATGAAAATTTCCTGAACTTACTGTTTTTATAGGCCAGAAGCAATGACTATACGCAGATACGCGCGAACGCGGATGCGAAGGAAATCTGCAAAGACCGCAGGGTCCCTGAACGTGTAGTACAACATGAGGCATTGCGTTATCGTGTAAAAATTGAAAATTATCTAATCTACGGGCGTACACAGATTATTGTATTAATACAGGAACGGGTTTTGCAACATTGACGTTAACCGTTTCGAAGCCGAGATTTAAGCGTGAATCGTGCGACGAGGATCTCGCGATTGCATTTGTTAACTGATCGCAACGACATCTGTATGCGCTTGTCGCACGCAACGGGTCGTTTATCTAAGCTTTCTTAAATGGAATAATACTTTGTCCGCAAACTTCCAACGTACGATCTCTCTTTCGCGCGCGAATATGTTCGGAGAGCTTGTTCTAAATTCTGAACGTTAATAAACGCCCCCATGGTGCGTGGCAGCGGCCTGAATGTCTAAGTTAGCCTTGATGCACACCTCGAGAAATACGTATTCCGATTCGAGGGTTTTCCAAGGCTCGTAAACAACCTGTTAATAATGTACACGAGAGCAATTTGGAAAAGAAAGTTTCCAGAAGGTCGAGACGTCGTTATTCGGCCAGCATACATACCGAACGATCTTTTCGTTTCGTGGCTGGTATCAAGCCTCGAACACATCCACGTTTAGCCCGAAGCAGAGAGAGTCCTTCTTTTCGAGAACCAATCCGAACAAGCTACACGACCATTACAGATTAACGTAATACCATTCAGCTGGCTATAAATACTATTCCCGCGAACGTCACGATAGACGAGAGATACGATAACCATTCCTTTCCTCGACGGGGTGAACAAAACAATCGGATCGTTCCTGGAACGATCGAAATTAATTAGATCGTTAAAATTCCATTAATCGAGAGTTTCGACGACATCGGAACAAAAAATATATATGGCCTACATTAAGCGTATTTTAGATTACGTATTTTACGTTACGTACACGTATAAAAAAAAACCATGTGGCTTCGTTACGTAGCGAATGATACCAACACACTTTATCTCGGTGGTGTCTTTGATTATGCGACGGCTACAAATTAACATACGCGGTGCGCGTGACACTAACGCTCTCGATTTATCTGAATTTCAATGATTCCGAGAAAACGACGCGGCTATTTCTCGTTCTACAAAGAATGATCTATGGAGCACGTACACAGGCTGTCGAGCAGGAAATCCCGAACGTTGGAAAAACGCGATTGGAGACGATGAACTTTAGGAATTTTTAGGTTATGGCGGCGTTATGCGACTTGTTCCGCGGTCTCAACGCGACGATTACCAACAACGTGATTCTAAGGAACGACATCGCTTGAAGCGTGTTAGAATCAGTGGGAATTGTCGCGTGAAATGCACAGGAAAGAAAAACAACGAGTACAGAGTACGATTAGCGCGAGACGTCTCGTTCCTTTTTATCACGGCACACTATGGCGCACGAACCAAGCGGAGCTGGCTCTTTGGCCTGCTTTGGCCTTAGAATGGAATTATCCCAAAGGAACTCGGTATCGCGAGGACATCTGTGTTGAATGCAACGACGGTATGGTCACTGCCTTGTATGCGTGTATGTATTAGAGTGGCGCTCGTTTGAAAAGGAGGAAAAGAGAAATCGTCGAATCCCCACCCAAAAGATTCTCGTTTCGAGGCGCCGCAGCTTTTACCGGGTAGCAATGTGGCGGCTCGAAAAAATATGTCAAGTTTAAAACAGTCTAACCTGAGTAAAAAAGAATTGTTACCACAGGCTATCATCCAAAATTCATACGTGGTATTGTCGTTCTTTGTTTCGTGCGCGCATCGCGTATGTAACCGTAGCTCGAGGCAAATAAAAAGATTGAATTATTACGGATCCGTAAGTGACCATGCAACGAAAGAGAGGGAGTCAAAAAACATCGACTGCGACGAGAAACGGAAAGAGCATAAGCGAGACGAGGACGCGAAAAGAGTCGTCCAACTCGGAGGAAACGCGATTGCGTCAAACACGCACTCACTCACGCATATACGCAGGCCAACATGCGCGCGCGCGCGCACGACACTGACCAATTTGTTATTTCTTTGATTTGTCGATTGGGAGTCGTAGACACTTGACCACGAACTACGCCACGACAAAATAAGACAGAATCGGTATAAGATAAGACGCATGCGGTTAACAGTGAAACTCATAATAATGCGATCTATATAGGACGTAATACCCATACGGATGCGCCGAGCTTATTCTCGGGGTACGATTCACTCACCTTCTTTTCTCCTTGTGTTTCTTCTCTTTTCTCGATGACTCCATGGCACGACGGGAAGGGACACAACTGCAGAACACGAATTAGAAGGTACACTGTTGGGACACTCTCGGTCACTGCCAAGGAACGTATCCAGCATGTACCTCACTTGGAACTCGTTGCGATGATTCCCGTTCACTATTGTCTCTACCGTACTTCGTTCGCACGTACTCGTTCGTGTGCTCTACCGCGTTATCGAAATCGATGCACCAACGTACGCTACCCGCACAGTACGCGACGTCACTTTGGCTTGTCTCGTTCTGTTAACGATTCGAAACGAAAACACATCCTTCCATCATCCGTACGAAATGCTCGACGAACGCTAAACTCATGGTGTGATGGCGATGACGATGACGATGGTAAAGCTTGTAGTGGTAGTAAACGACCGCGGCGTGGTGTAGAGGTTGTATACACGAGAGACCGACTGTCCGAATGGTTAAACATGGAGGGGGAACCGCGAAGCGACGTCACGGGAGTTTCGCTCCTTCTTCCTCGTACACAGCGCCATCGAGCGGTCGAGGGGTCAATTAACTCGTTGTACAACGTACGAGTACTTCCGAACCTGGTATCAATCAAATGCAAAAAAAATTATGGTACTTAAAAAGTTGTGCGTCACCGTACAAAAAGATGTTTGTTAGATCGTAAGAGTATTTATTGATTACCATATATCGTACAATAAATGGTATATACAACTAATCGAAATATACGAGCAGGAAAATTAAATGTATTCATTTGGCTTGCTTAAATAATCGATATTCTGAAAAATATTTCTTTCTCATCGAACATTGACTTCGGTGATTTCACAGAAGGTTAAGAATATACATGGTGGAATAACAATATTTACGAATACTTTATTTTTTCCAACATACTTTTCCATACAACCTATTCTTTGTAAGGATTACAGAGATCCTGTTTCGTTAAGTCCCAGTAAAAATATTCTCTAGATGCCTTGTGACAGGATTGCATTGTATTACTTGTTCACTGGCAAGACGAACCTTATTCAATTAACGTTACTTCGTTCTACTTTATTTTTAGTACTAGAGGAGTCTGTTCTTTCTTCCTTCTTTGGTTCTAATTGTTCGTGCGTGCCACTACTGGCCTTTGTATTTTTTTCGTGTTCTTCGTCTTCCATGTCTTCGTCAATGTCATCTAGATTCGTATCTTTACTTCCATATAGCGCAGGATACTGGGTCATGCATACTTGCATCGTTTTAAATGCTTCGTAGCAATCGGAACCTTTCGTTTCCGCGGTAGAGTAGTGGAAACAAGAAAAGGCTTCTCTGAACTCTAAGCCACACGGCCCTGTAGCCATACCACCCAGACAAGGACAGTTCCAGTTAATCTCTCCATTGGGTAACAAGAGACCAGGACTTGGTTCTGGTTCTGGAAGTTCTATTGTACTAGGTGTCGCATGGTCTTCTTTTGATGCGAATATTATAGTATCTTTTCCTTCTTTATGTGTTAGCGACATAGTTGATCGATATAAACATACAAAAAATGTATGATATTTTCCTTAAAACAAAGGCACGAATGAGTTACCTTATTCCAAATATGAATTTTTCTAGTTTTTTATTCTTTAATGCTGGTAAGTTCTACTATTGGCAGTAAATGATAATAAATTAAACGAGGCACGATGAATTGTATAAGTGCACAATTCTCCTTCGTATTTTACAGCCAGAGTTAAGGCAGCTCTTAAACGTATGTAACAATCGTCCGGACACCGTAAAATAAATCTGCGATCCTTTGGATTATACTTCAGAATATCAATGGTATACTTAGTTCCTTCCTCCCCAAATAATTGCCTTAAGGATTGAAGAATGTTTTTCTTCAAATAAACCTGTGATACCTCGAGGTTGGAACAATGTGGAAGTTCTCTGGAAACAAAAAAAAAATATTCCACCTACAGAATTTTTCACTGTAAAATATAATTAGGAAGTAATAGTTTTTAAGATTACAAATACTTTTTCTAATAGAACACGATAATCTCAGTAATATACGATGACAAAGAAACAAAAGACGATTAACATAAACGAAATCTTTACTATGTTTTCAAATGAATAACTATTTCGTCATATTGCAATTCGAGCGATATGTCTTCCGTTATAAATTGTAAAGTTACGTTTTAATTAAAATAAAGATTATCATTCAGGATTGATACATATAATTATAAAACATAGACAGAAATAGTTACTAATAATCATATCGCTTTCGTTTAACCTACATCGACCATTCTCGAAATCTAGGTTAGGTTACATGTGTGCAGACAAAAATATGAAAGATGAATGTACTAACAGAGAAACGTCTAAGTAATACATAGTACACAGAACACTAACTCGCGACTCACATTGAATATTCGCGAATTTACTACAGCACTTTTGGTCGATGCTTCGCGTAAAGCACTTTGCGGCGTTTCATTCATGCCTCCATGATATAAAAAGGAGACAAGCACCTTATACGGTGAACAGATGGCGCTTCGATCGTTCACATCGAGGCATTTAACTTTAAGTACCCCATGGTTTTTCGATTGTAAAAATAAATATTCAATTTGTATTTCTAAAGCAGGAGCATCTATTTATCAAACTGATGTCAATGATGTAATCAAGATCGACTTTTTAAAAGAAATATTCTGTCGTATACTTCGTCCAATACAATCGTCATATTTCTAGGAAGTATTTTAGCACCAAAACTAGTTACAAATTCGTCACAACTAAAGACCAGCCTTTATGTTATTAATCCTGCGAGGTTCTAGGGTGGACGAACAGCTTATCGACTTAACCCCGAAAGTTATTATATGTTAGAGGATAATCGGCTCGTATTACTCTATAACAATGATGGCAACTAAACATTTGGAACTTTAAATTCCAATCGTTCCAACCACTCCTACAATCGTGTCTAAACGATCACCTTCCATAGAACGATTTCCTTTCACGTGTTTTCCTATTGTAACACGTTCTGCTTTTACACGAATTAGGATACTTCCTTGGGACTACATAGCACTTGGTCTAAGCACGAACAGATAAATCTCCAAAATGACTAAATTGCATCGAGGAATATTCTTACGCGTAGTAGCGAAAGCGCAACCTCTTCGCGCAAGGTCAATGCCAATGTCAATATAGAAGGTTAAAAGCTATTGCAAAGGAAACTTTAAACTTTCACTACAAGTACGTCATTGTAAAATTCCAGCAGCTGTCCGCGAAACAGAAAATTAAATCGCTTCGTTCCTTTCGTTTTGTTTCTTTTCGCGTTTCGACCCACCCTTCAAATTACATCTTTATTGTCCGAAAAAGAAATACATGATTGCACATTGTGTCTTCGACTCTCCGATATCGATTCACACGCGAGAGAACGGAAGCCGATTCATTAAATTTTCTACTTGTCGCAATACCTACACGCACACGTTTCTTTTTGCCATTCGGAACATCTGGCCTCCTTTTCTTCGGCGTCGACCAATTTTGACAACTCGAGGATACAATCGTATGCATGATCCGCGAAAAGAATCAACACTTGGGTTACCTGGTGCGTTATTCGAATCGCCTGCGAGCTCAGCGACTGGGCTATCCGAGACCCCTTACGCTTATCCTTTTCACTGTTCCATGGGTCCTGTATAGTATAAGCCTCGTCCATTGGCGTAACCCGTCGAAAATGTGTTCGAACAGAGTCAGAGACCCGAAAAATTCTTTCCAGAGCATCGGAATCCGGAAAGAACCCTTTCTCGGAGGAAAGGGTATTTTTGTTATTCCATGGAGATTCCGCGCATTGACGTAGCAGGACGAAGAATAACATATTCTGAGATGCCTAAGATATCTTATCGTTACAATTCCCAGAATATGTATATCCTACTTAATTTTAGGACGGACTCGCTGAGTGACAACTAAAAATTTACTAATAGGGAAAGAAGATGGTAATCGTTCGCTGGAGAACCACGCAGATTCCACGCAATGGCGTAGCAGGGGGGCTCCCGACATCTCACGCCCCACACACTACTATTTCCAGAATAGTATTGGGTTGTCCGAAAAGTTTCTTTCGTTTTATTAATAATTAATTTATACACAATATTTTATGTTTCATGTTACGTTACAAAATTGCGTACAATTCATTTCGCTTCATTACTGTTACAGCATTAATGTCTAAGAAATTAGATTGTTTATTTCTATAAACGCTGCCACAGAAAATAATTGAATGCAACTAACGAAAGAAACTTTTGGGACAATCTAATATATGCCACCTAATCTCCAGCTAGGCTCTCGACTAAAAATTTACCAATCAAAAAAGGAGAAATTCCTCGTTCCTTGGAGAACTATGCACGCATAGGCGTAGCAGAGGGGCAATCCTATATCCACATACCGCAAGTTCCAGAATCACACATCCTACCTAATCTCGTCACAGCCTCTACACTAAAAATCTACCAATGGAAAAAAAAAAAAAGAAGTTTCTCGTTCCCTGGACAAATTAGCAGGAGGAATGTATACATACCGTCGTCCAGAGTGTTGGCGTAGTAACTCGCGGTACGCTAAAAGGAAATCGCGGGAACGTGCGAAAATTTGCAGCTCGAAAACATATCAGTCGAACGGCTGCGAGGCGTATCTCGCTGGTTGCACTCTGAGATACAATCGAACCAGACTTCTTTCATTTAAGGAGACGATCGATGATGCGATGCTCGAAACGCGCGCGTGTGCATCGTGAGCCACCGAGCTTCGATATTCCATGTATCGTGCGCGATATCAATCAAAACCTGGCAAGACCACTCGAAATCGGAATAGACGTTTTTCGAACGACGTCATCTATTTATTTTTTGATTATACCCGTGTTGGAACTGCTGGGTTACAGGTCTCGAATTTTATGGGACCCTGGGCTACGGGGTGAGGCCCAGAGGCGGGCATAATTCTCACGTAGATAAAATATGAGGATGGGGGAAGGAGATAAACAACTTTCGATCCGTGGTGGTTCCTTACATTCTTTTATGGCTAGACTGCGGATTTTATGCGTTTATGGCGCAGAGTAATATGAAAAGTATACGTAATGTGTCTTGTATATAATTCATCATTATTGTATATATTTATATATTTATTATATATATGGGTCCTGTATAGTATATATATATATATTATATATATATTATATATAAATACCAAATACCAAAAGTGCACTCATACAAAAAAAATATGTATATATATTTGTATATATTATTGTATATAATTCATATACAATTCATTATAATTCATTCATTCGTTATAATTACATCATTCATTAATTAATGGAATAGTGTTACTATTTCTTTTTTGTACGAGTCCAGATACCTTTTGGTTATGCATTTTAGTATATTACTTTATATACTATGTATCTACTGTATCAACTTGTATCATAAATACATAAAATCCTCAGACTATTCATGACTAATATGAAAACATTCCGCAGAGGATCTATTATCCTCGCCAACATTTCCAAAAGAAACGATCATAAAAGGATTAATTGTACCATTGGAAGCCCATTACACGTACTTCTCCCAGCTGCAATCATTATTCGCAATTACGATTGCAAAAACCGAATGCAATATATTTTATGGCGAGAAAGGAAGTTTTGGACTATAATAGTGTCAATTTCAGGTAATTGACCCAAGGTTTGCCTTTTGTGCGAGTATTAGAGCCGGTGGCCCCAAGGGTTAATCTCCAGGGACCCTCCAGCTGTGACGAAAGCCTACGCAGGCCTCCAGGAGTCCAACGCCCAACCTTCTGTCCAGAGTTTCGCGGAAAAACTTAAAAGGTTCACGAATCGTCGAAAGTTTCGCCAAGTTTCGCATCCACGTCCGCAAACGCGTTACGTGCACGGTGGAGCGGCCCACAATTCCCAAGGCGGCTATAATTCCATATATCGAAGTTCGGTTAGAAGCGTGTCATCGAATACAATGGAAGACTAATGACGTCATGGCAACTACACTACGAAAAGCGGCGTATTCACCGGAATATCATGAATAACAAAGAATCGTGGAGTCATCGTATTTATGCCCAGGGCCCACGTTTAATCGCGTCGTCGGCCATCGCCCGCCCCCTCCGATACACCTCTGGAAAATCGTTTCTGGTGGAAAACGTTATACGCGACGCAGTGGAAAGTAAAAAAAAAAAGAGAGAGAGAGAGAGAGAGAGACAGACAGACAGAGAGAGAAGAAACAATGGATGGTGTCGGGGGTGAAGGAATATTAAATAGAATGGAAATACACCGTGACGAAAATAACCACGACAAAAGCTGAAATTGCACCAGGAAGCCGTGGTTCCTGTATTTCATTGTGTCGGGTCGCGCACCTTACGCATGCAAGTTTATTCAGTTCGAACCGAGAGGTCACGAGCTCGCGGGTTAAAAAAACCTCTTGCGTCGTCTACAGTGTGTTTAAAAATTACTTGAACGAAGCTTGAGACTTTTTATGCGTTTGGTGCGACGCGGGACGACGGTGGAAACTAGGTTTCCTTCTCTGGAAAATGTTCAAAGGAGGAAAGGAGACAAAGATGGAGACAGACTTCAGATTTATTCGAAGGTTAGGGTTTTCCGTTTCCACACTTCTAACGAGATATCTCTGTGCAATTTTTCCACTATTTTCGACTAAATTTGTGGAGGATGTCTGGGACAAAATCTGGTCCCCCTTTTTTCGGAAGACTTTTTTTTTTTTCGTGAAAACTTTTTTTTGGAAATTACATTTAAACGAAACATACACGTAGATCTAATTCTATACTTTGAGAAATATAGAAAAAAGTATTTTTGCTTCGAGAACAGTGATTGCACGTTTTATTTACACGTAATTCCCCGGCTGGGATACTTGTTCCATTGCGAGGTGTGACCAGGTAATGTGAAAATCCACGGAAAAAGTCACCGCAGTTAACGCGTTAATCCTTCAGGACCCTTTGTCTACTGCGATTGGACACAATTTTCAAATCGGGACGAACGAAAGCTTGGTACACAATTACGTCCCAGTGTAAAACTCGATTTCTATATGTTTATGTCTTTGTTCCGTTAATTACGTTTCTCCCATTTGTGGAATTAATCGAGGCTCAAGTCGAGCGAAGGAATGTAATTTCACGTGTGTTCCACGAGCCACCGGGATCGTCGCATAATTTATTTAATACGTGCGTGACGCAATAGGATGGAATAAGGAAAACGGAAGAGACAGCGACGCAACGGAAATAAGAAGACTCACTCGGTGATCATTAAACTCCGTACGCGAGCCAGGTGGACTGGTTCTCCTTGACGATACGCACGCGTCATATCGCCGTTAGTAAAATCTGTCGATTCAATTCTCTGGAAATCCCTGCCTCCACTTTCCCCATTCCGGTTCCGCTATATTCCAAATGTTAGTCGAGAGTCCTGGCCGTTCCGAGACGGTGCTACACAGGATTCATTGTACCAATTTCCCAACTTCCCTTGTTAGAACCACCTGGTTCGTAATTTCAAAGAAAAAAATGTGTTCGCACAGGAAGGAATATTCGTGAACGCTCCACTGCAACTCGAGCATGAAGAATGAAGCGTATTAAAGCTAGTTTTAACATGAAATATAAATATATTTGGGTGGTATTGTACAGTCAGTGATTCGTTCGTATATACAGGTTTATGTACATGCCGAACACTATATCCTCGAAATACTCTGCGCGTAAATCTCACACATGCATACATTTGACGAAATCGGTCGAACCACGCACACGTGTTTTGGAAATGATCATTCGCTCTTTCCGGATCCAGCCCATCCGCGATTCGTGGATCCGCGAATCACGCGCGCACTTCGCTTCTCTTATTATCCAGTGTAGTTTTATTTTATTTTTATTTTTATTTTATTTTTTTTTTTTTGTTCTTTTCTTTCCTCTCGAGTCGAACGATATTTTGGCGCTCGCTTATACAATGTTTTTTATTTTTTTCGTTTAGCGTTATTTTTGCGATTAATTAGGACGTCTGCCGCCGGACAATTTCATTCTACGGTTACAATGGGCGCCGTTCGCTATTAAATTTTCCTTCGTTTCGTTTTTTTTTTTTTTTTTTTTATCTTTTCTCTTTTCCTTCTGTAAGTCGACTCTAAGCGGATTCTTCATCGCGACACGTCTGCTTTATTCGTTACTCGCTTACTTGTTACTTTTTTTTACTCGGCGTTCACTCGCCCATACGGTTCTCAGCACGCCCTTTCTCTTCCATTTTATTTATCCTATTACAGAGCTACGTTTTTTTTTTTTTTCGTTTTATCCGCGTTACAAACCACAACGAGGTATCGTTTACTTTAGACTTCATGACTACTAGTTAGAGAATAAGCGTAGAAATGTATCACACTAGAGACTTGTACATTATCTTAAATGCGTAGGTATGTTCTTTTTTTTTTTTTTAATCATTTTCCTTTATCGATAATACAGTAGTGTAGTAGTTGGTTAGCTAGCCTCATCCCCCCCCCCCCCCCCAATAGTCCTTCCCGTGACTGTTCGAGGAACCGAGAAGGATCGTCGGCGAAAACGAAGCGACACGAGGCGCAGTTACGCGCATAAAGAAAAATAAAAAGTAGAGGGTAGAAGTACGCATTCTTCTATCGCTGTTTCGCGCAGAGAAAGAAAGAAAAAGAAAAGGCAAAGTGCGTTCTCCTCTTGCGATGGGGAAACACGCTTCCTCGAGCTCTGAGCAAAGAAGCAACATTGGCTCGCGAACTTTAACGAACGATCGAGCAAGGTAAACGCTTTCCAAAGCGAACGGATGATAGATACGCTCGATCGAAACGTAAAGCTGCGTTCCCACGTGCGCAGGAAATGAGTTCGAAGCGAGACAGAGGAGACACTCGCGAAAGCTTTTCAAGCAGGGAGCTTTTTAGGTCATTCGAACGTGATATTATTTAATCGCGATTAAACCATAGGAAAAACAACAATCGTTTCCCAATGGTTCCTCGACCTTCCATCATTGGACGACAACTCGTAATTGTTGTTATCCGCGTTAACTGCGATCGACGGGTCGGGGATCGAAACATTCACGCGGGTTGAGCCCCTAAATAATCACCCGCTAGGGCACCGTAGCGCATTGTACTCGGCTCGACTTCGGTGATCGATAGAACCGATACTACCATTGCTGTGCACCGGGTCGCCTCTAAACTCGAGATCGCAGCATGCTGGAGACGGTGGAGGTGCCACATGGGCAGATGCGGGCAAAATGTTGCTGGATCGGTTTATTCTTGTTTAAACGTTTGCGTGGGCCGTGGGAAGCGCGTAGAATCCAAATTGCACGCGTTACGCAACAATTCGAATTTTATACGCTTCGCAACCCTTTCGACTTTTAATTACGTAACGGATCTCTCGTAACTTATTCGATACTTCCAATCGAGACATTTTACCCATCTGCGGAGCGATTCGAGCGAGCAGCGTTCGAGACGAGGAGAGCACGTGGCGAAAACCGAGCAGAAAAAAAATCTGATCGACGCGAAACGAACGTTAATTTTTCGTTTTTTACCAACGGGGGGGGGGGGGGGGGGGGGGGCGCGTAGTCGTTCCGCTTTCACGAGGGGAAGGAAAATGTCGCGTCGGGGTCGTCGGTCGAGGGAACGAAAGGAAAGGTGAGAGTAGAAAAGAGAAGCGACGAAAGTACGATAGGCAATCGGTGGGCGTAAAAATAGGAAAGGAAGAGAGAAATAACCCACGGAGAGAAATGTCGCGAAGGCTGTCAAACGGTGGAGGCACCAAGAGGTGGTTATCGATTGGCCAGAGAGGCAGGCCTCGGGTCGCTCCAGCTAGGGGCGTATTCGGCTGTCCCGTTTCGTGGTTCGACTTTTACCGGCGGTAAATTTTTGCCAGCTTGTGTCGCGAGGAAAGAGGATCGATCGTCCAGAGAGGAACGGGACGAGAGAGAAATGCGAGAGAGCCAGAGAGAGAAATTTTGTCGAAGCGGAGATGGCAGGCATTTTGGGCGTGGTCCATCGTTTCAAATCGCTGGGACTATCCATAGACAGTAACCCATAATATCCTGACGTTCGTGACACATGGACGTCTCTCCTTTATGGCCCGGCTCGGTGCTTTCGGGAATCGCGCCTCCTCCCTCTGCACTTCTCGCTCTTTCCGCTATCTACCCTCCGGTTTGACTATCGAAAGATCGAAACCCCCCAGCGCGGCGATCCAGGCTCGAACCAACTGTGTACGTTTTTCCAAACCTCGATAACGATTTCAAATATTTTTAACGAGATTGTACGAATAAAGGCGCGAAATTTGAGATTGGTATGTCTAAATAGTTTTCTATTAAACAAATTTTATTTTTGATACTGTCGCACCCCTGAGGTATATCGGCACGCGTACGTACGGTTGCTTTTATATCAAAATGACAGTTTTGCTGACGATCGCGAAACATTTTAGAATCGAAAAATATACCGTATTAAAGCGAGACAGAAGAAAAATTTCACGTTCAACTTTTTCATAATCACCACCAAACTACGTCTAGACATTCATAGTAAATCGTTACACGGGGAAATTGATGAGAAGCTACACAAATCCAAAGATACACGAAAGATACACCTATCGCTCCATTTAGAAGATAAAATAATCATCCCCGGTCTAACGAACGCTAACATCGCGAAAGGATGTCTTAGAAGGGTGCCCTCGAAGCAGTTTTAAATGGAAACCGTGGACGTTTCTAAATCTTCGAAACCACGAGACAGCCGGTAGGCTTCAATGACGAAGCACTTAAGGCTTCGGTTGACGCACAGCCGCGGAGGCATTGTAAAGAAAAAAAAAAAAAAAGAAAAAAAAAACACGCGAACGCGTCGAAACCGAGCGAACGAGTTCCACGGAAAATTGGACAAATTGGTCATACGTTGTCGCAGGAAAACGAAAATTACTCACGGGAACGCCCCGTTCCGAGAAAGTCCACGGATGGCGTACAAGGTGAACCGAAAAGCTCGCGGATATGAACCGCTGGGTAAAAAAAAAAAGAGAGAAAAAGGGAAGAAACAACTCCGGGCGGCGTTCAAAAAGACTCGGTAACTCGAAGCGAATTACGAGGGTAAAGAATTACCAGGGCCGACATGCGTGCGTGTACGTGAGCGGTGGAACCGGGTGTGCGGGTACGAAGAATAGCATAACGTGCCGCGTTACGTGTGTTCGTTGAATCGCTCGGTGTACTCTCGGTACGCGAACAATTCGGTGCGTCAGAGGAACAGGGTCATTGTTAGGCGCGCTTCGTGCTTTTTAAGCTTAGCTTTTCAATCGAGGAGCGAGGCTAACAGTCCTCTTTCTCCAGGCCGCGAGGGAGGGGGGGGGGGGGGGGAGAGAGAGAGAGAGAGAGGCCGAGGGATCGAGGAGGATCATTCATCGCGAAGATCGGGGGAGGCCCAATTTAAGAAAAATTCGCGTGGACCCTTGGACAGGGGTCCAGCCACGGTCAAGAACATTGTAATTCGGGTGGAAGCAGGAGAGGATCGCCGGATCGAAAATGGCTACGGTTCGCTTTATGCTTGGATCGGTGCTTTCCTGGAGCAAACTACCTGCTCGGCTCGCTCGCTCCTCATCCCTTTGCAAGAGGAGCTTTACCTTCGACCGCGTACCTGCCCTTACCGCCCTCTCGCCTGTCTACCTACTCCGTCGGCGTTTCTGCCCCAGTGTTCCTGGACCGGGTGTTCGAAGGGGACCCCACCCGAGTTCCACAGAAAAAGAGCCTCGGGTATATCTTTACGAGCGGAGCCATAAAAGCCGTAGGAGTTCGTCCGTTTCTCGATTAACTCTCCGCTGGTTGGGGTGCATGGATCGTGTTCGACCGTCTACGATCCTTATTGTCGTGTGTATTCCTCGTGCCCCTATAATGCGGGAACCCAGGCCGTCCTTCGAGACACTCGGTCTCCTGGAAGAGGCTCGGAGCCGAGAGGAACGTTGACGATTTCGAATACGCGAGACCATTTAGGGTCGTACGCAGGGTTGCGAGGCTCGATCGGGCCTGGCATAACGTGTCACATAGAACATGGGAGGAAAGCTACATCCCCGTATCGTCGTTTCTTGTCTAAGCTCTGCGAAAGCTCAACGCGTCGAGCCGAACATGACGTCGCAAATCGCTATGTATCCTTGTTTCTTACACGCTCTGTACCGAGTTCCCCCGTCTGCTATTTCTTAATACGTCGCCGTAAGGCTCGACGCGTCTGCTTTTGCTCAACTTACGGCAGCCCCGGGCCAGAGACGTGGACACCCCGAAGAGAGGGACTTCTGTGGGTCCCTCTTGATCCGGGGTACCGGCTGGTGGTCGAATTGTCATCCCTCGTCTCGACTCAAACGCCTCTTTATTCTCCGTTCCCCCCCCCCCCTGGTTTTTCTTTCCTTGGCAAAACTAAACCTTCCATTTAAACTCGTCTCAGCGTGTCCTCGTTCGTGCTCTACGGAGTACCTTCGAGCGTTCCTCGTCGCTTATCCGAAGCATCTCGTGTGTGCGTCTCGCGAGAGCAACGAGATCTACGTCGCGGCGGCCTCGAACCCCCTTTTCGTCCCTCTTCTCGTTCTACCCTCCGCTTTTAGTCCTCCTCTGGCCAGCGGAAAGACCGTTTCTCCTTTCCAACCGATAAATCCTATATCGCGATAAACGAGGAGTTAACGTTACCGGGTTTGAATCGATATACGCTCTCTACGCCGTCCTCTAATCCAGCGGCGCTCGCGAACAGCTTTCGTTTAGAAATGCGCTACACGCTGCGTGTTTTGTCTCTTCCACATATACGCGCACACATACACACGCACACTCTCGTTCTCTCTCTCTCTCTCTATCTATCTATCTATCTATCTATCTCTCACTCTATCTCTCTCTCTCTCTCTCTGTACACGCTCTTTTTCGATCGATCATTATCTATACACATAGGCATCACTCATTCCCTCTTGTCTTCCCCCAATTTCCTTTTTTCCTTCGCTCTCCGCGCGATCACGCGTGCTCGCGATGCGATCGTTAATAATATATATATATTTATATTTATATATAATATGTATGTATAATTATACAGGAGATTAGGCTTTGTATTCAGTCAAAGTAGCGAGGGCGCTAGCTCGTTAATATATTAAATAATTTGAGGCAGTTTACGTCATTTTGTTTAAGGCCGAGTTAACAGTAGTGAACTATAAAGGTGTGTACGCGCGCGTGTACGCGCCCCGATGATCCGTCGAGGCTCGGTTCGCGTTCGACGGGCACGAACCGGTGGAAAACTCAAGTGGTGCACACCTGTGCCTCGATTTACACGATATTTTTGTTTTTTTTTTTGCAGGAATTTCAAAATATCCTTGATCTATATAAAGACTGTCGAAAACAAAAGCTTCGCTTGTACAGCCCGAATCCACTAAAAGTTCTTCAAACGATTGAATTATCTACATTTTTTTAAATTTTTGACGCGATTCCGCACGAAACCTTCCACTTTGATAATCCACGATATTTCGAGGATCTTCCGTGTAAATCGTGGGATAGGCGTACTTTGCGCCGTCTTATCTAACCCGTACCGTTTCTTTTTCTTCCGTCCCCGTACTCTTTTCCTTTTCGTCTCGCTCTCACGACGGCCCGTCGAACGTGAATCGAGCTTTTGTGTACGCACAAAAGTACGTTCACAAGTATAGCGGAGGGCGAGGCACAGATACTCTCTTCCCGTCTCTTTCTTTCATTTCTTCTTCTTCTTCTTCTTCTTCTTTTTTTTTTTTTTTTTCACCGTTTAAACACGACGCGCGCACACACGCATCTCCGTGAATTAAGAAGAAGCTTTGACCGTACATTTATTACATTATAGTTCGTTATTACGCGCGACGTAGGACAAAATACTTCATGCCAGACTTTTCTCGTACCCGCTTACGGAGGAAGCACGTTTTTCTTTTTTTTTTCTTCTTTTTTTTTTTGTTTTGTTACAGAGTAAATATACCGGCCTTTTCGGTCTCGCCGGCTACGACGATCAAACAACAGACTTTTGCGGACGGCGGGACGAAAAAGAAACGAAAAGAAAAAAGAAAGAAGACGAAAATCGAACGAGTGGATAGACGGTGGGGGGGGGGGGAGAAGAGAGGAAACACGATAATCGCTCGCGACGGATACACGTATTCACCGAATGCAACGCGAAATAAAGAATTACCGGAACCACGGCGTATTCCCCTTTTCCTTTCTATTCTCTGCTCGATGCCTCCCATTCGGGTTGCGACTCGAACGGAGCCAATCGATCGCGGAACGATAAGTCGTGAATGCGGAGTAAAATTTCTGCGCGAACTTCGAGAAAGGGCAGAGCGATTTCGAGATTGGGAACCGCAAGTGTTGGGCAAAATACGCATGGACCGCGATATTGTTTTTTACGAAGAATGCTTGGCAACTCGACGATATTAAAAGAATTTCGAAACGCTGCAGAAACGTGCATAAACAGAAAATAGTTATCAGGAGATGTTTATGCATTTGCGGCAAATGATAGCATCGAGAAGGGTGCGAGAGCATGCAGAAATGCAAAAGTGTATTAAATATCAACGATAATATATTAGGTCGTCCTAAAAGTTCGTGCCATTTATACTTCTGTTTCTCAAATTAATACGCGAAACATACTCTCAAGTGTCACAAGAAAAGATAATCTGTCTCATTTCACAATAGTTTCTCATCTCTCTCATATAGCCATTTGTACTGTCGCTAGAAAATTTCTGTGGTTTTTCATTACATTTCGACACAGTCTTCGGCACGAACTCATAGGACGACCTAATATATGCTGTTCCATTTAGAAAGTGAGACACTTTCGTTTAACCCTCTACGAACCTGTGTACCAAGTGATTCCAGTTTTTTTTTAAAAGTAAACGCCTCTCAAAGTGTCTGCAAATAAAGAAAAATTTGGTCCACAGAAAGTTGAGTTAAAGTTCGTTTTCTGTATCCGTAAAAATCCGAGTTTGCATAAACATCCTCAGGCTAGTTATCGGTACAGTTAAAGCTACGTTTCCGCAAAGTTTCAATTTTTCCTCTCGACTTTCCGATAGGGAAACTTCCCTCGTTAGTCGAACGCGCACGTGTGGTCCGCGTATATTCTCGAGATCGATCCACTCCAGAGCGAAGAGTTCCTCGCGAGGAAATTTTCTTCCGCGCTCTCGCCTCGTCTTTCGTAGAATCTCCGGTTCTTCCGTGATTCCACGGCTACGTTTCGGTACACAGTGTATACGTGTACGCGTCGGGAGCTCGCTTCGAGCCGTTCTAAACCAGAACGGTCGGATAAATAAGCGCGTCGGGGGTCGGGAAGATGAAATTTCTGTCGGAGTACGCGCGAGCGAGTATTCTAAACCGAAGCGTTTCCAGGGAAGGCAGATTGCGAAAAAAAAAGAAGGAGAGAAGGAAAAAAAAAAATTCGTGTACGCCGTTACCAGGCATCGAACCGCTACCCAGCTGCGAGGAGACGCTTCTTTCCGTCGTCTTATCTACCCCCAGAAGACGTCCCTTGCGTAATCTTCCGTGGGGTTCGTCTTCCTTTTTATTTAAGAAGTAACGACGATAAACGCGGTCGATCGAAAGAAACGCGATCTAAATGCAAGAAGTAATACTGACTCGGAAAAAGGAAAGTCGTGTTTAGGGTAAACACGTGGCGGTGACGACTTCGCTGGGGACAGTCTCAAGTGAAAATAAACCGTTCTTGGGAAACTCTATTAATTGAAAAAGAACGAAGATAGGGAATAATGATAAAAATATTGCCAGACGTTCTGCGTCGAACACAAGGGCTGCCAGACCTAGTAAAGTAACCCTTGCAACGACGCAACTTGGTGGGCATCTTTCAACCTTTGGTTATCCACGCAAAACGTCTGGCAGTATTTTTGTATTATTCACTGACGTGCGACCAATTACTGGATTAAAAAAAAAAAAAAAAATACACGTCGAATTGAGTAACCTTCTCCTTTTCGAAGTCGGTTAAAAAATCAACCTCTTCAAAATGACCTATTCTCGTTCTTTTTCAAACACCACCCCCCCCCTCTCCCCCGCCCCCCCCCCCCGCCCACGCTATCGTTCCGACTTCTAAGAACTAACTACCAGACTTTCCGATGCAAAAAGCGTTATTTCCATTCCATGACGGCCCCCGTGAAGTCGTCACTGGCTCTTAGAGTAACACCGGAGAACTGTAAAGCTGACGAAGGAAAACTGTAACTCGCGGGACACACCGTCCCCGCGATTTGGCACGTAACGAAGCGGTCGTCGCTTGTTTCCAGCGCGTAGCGCGTCGCGGGTTCGTATTTCGTCGTGCATTTTCCATGACGCAGCGCACCCGACGGGGAGACACCGTTCGACGATCGATTACTCGTTACGAGAGACGTAAAAAAAATTTTTTAAGAGGCGTTGCTCGATCCTATTGGGGCTGCTTGACATTCGACCGTCTCGCCGTGCCAGAGTTTTCGTGAGCTCGCGGGCTCCCTCCTCCTCCTCCTCCTCCCCCCCTCCTCCTCCGCTTTCTTTCGACACATCACAATCGAATTCTACGAGCGTATCCCTTTGCATAGCAAGCGGTTAACGATCTACGCCTTGTATCTACGGGGTGTCCCGAGACGTGGTACGCGCGTGTTTGAAGAGAACGAAGAGCTGATTTCGAGGCGAAATTTTTAGCGAAGAAGAGTTTCGAGACTTTGTACAATGTGGGGAGGAAGTTTAATATTTGGATGCTTTGCTATCTTTTCTTTGTCGAGTAACTGGAACGCGTCGGGTTGATTCGTAAGTAACTTCCGTTTGGCGACACTTTATGATGTATTAGGTTGTCCCAAAAGTTTCTTTCGTTTTAATAACAAGTAATATTGGGTTGTCTGGAAAGTCCATGGCGATTTTTAGTAGGCGGTACGGTTCTGAATACGTCGGAATGGTTGAAAACGAATAACACGTGCGCACTCCTTAAAAGGTGCAAAGGTTGTGGAACGAATTACATATGTAATTCAATAAACATGCATCAATATTCGAATGTGGCTTTGAAGTTTTCTTAAAAATAGGCATGAACTTTCCGGACAAACCGATACATACACGATATTTTACGTCTAATGTTACATCATTGAATTGTGTACGATACATTTTGCTCCATTACTGGTACAACATCAACAAATAAGGAATTAGTTTGTCTATTCATATAAACACTGCTACAGAAAATAATTGAGTGCAAATTACGAAAGAAACTTTTGGGACAACCTAATATAATCGAATTGAGTGATATTTGTTTATTTTGATAATAGTATCAGAGAGAATTAATTTCATCTATCAGTATGGTTTTCTGGACAATTTTTTGAAATGTTTTCCATGGAGCCATATAATGCCATCTTAGCGATAGATAACAATCTAGTTTACATCAGCCACACTTCTAGATTGTCTTAGCAAACAAAAATTGATTAATAGGCTTACAATTGATTTTCAAATAGATCATCGGTGAATGAATCTTAAACAACTGTACAATCGTGATCGTTGATTATCACCTGTTCCTATATAATAGACAAATTAAAAACTGTTACCTGATCCAGACTTGACATACACCTGCAGCGGAAGTTATTTATGAATCAGCCCAATAAGCACAAAGTTTGAGTGTCTAATTATTTTCGACAAACGTTGACGCAAACTCTGGGAACACCCTGTACAAAGAATTAGAAGAGACGTGGAAGGCTACGTCCGCCCGATGGCAGATTACGGCGAAACTTTATAGATAGTCGACAAATGGAAAGGAAAAAAACCGAATAGCCACAAGGATCCTTTTAACGACCTTCTAACTACCACTATTTTTCCTTTCTCCCAACGGTCTCGTTTACCGGAAATTGCCCGAAGTCACTTATGAGCAATTTTCCAAAATCTTCCATACGAATTAAGGAGGCATGCTCGGTAAGATGATCTTGGAATTTTTATATTTCTTGTTTCACGTTTTCGTAAGATATATGACTTCGTACATGAGTCGCTCCAGGCTGATATAAACTGGAGTTCAAACTTTAGATGCTCTTTGTCGAAAGTATTTTTTTCTCGAAAACCACCGAACCAACGTAATTTGTGTTTTCAGAGGTTTCGTGTAACGCAATGGGTCTACCAATGAAGACGATTTCAATAGGTCAAATAAATATCATACGGTACTAATGCCATGAAAAATAAAGAGCGTTATTAAGCGTAGTCAATTTCATTAAAAAATATGAATGAGTCGTCCAGAAAAAAAATCTTAAACTTTGGTCAAAGTTCGAACTTGTAACAGACCTTGAGTCTATCAGTTGGCGTTTGTTAATAAAAAAAAAAAGCGAACAAGGCGAACGATTGTGTAGATATCGAAACGTAGCCTCCCGTCAGCGATACATCTACGCTCTAAGTAACTGTATTTAGGCTCTGTATCCGTTTTGCTTCCCTCTGCTTTGGCGCTAAGAGGTCCGTTCCCTTTGAACGAGCAAAAACAGCGGGGCGGAAATGCTCGGTCGAGATGGACGACGAAGGGTAAGTGGCGGGAACGAGCCGCCGCTGCTCGAGAAGCGGCTCTGTGTGCGCCCGACGCGAATTCACAAAGCGGCTTCGCAAGTCTCGCGCACGCACCAAACATATATTTTCGCACGAAAATCCGATTCAGAATATTATCGAATCGAATCTCTAACGCGCTAGAAGCGCTCCGTAGCGTTCGCGATGGTCAGAATTGTTCTCGGAAGGCGATTTCGAAGCGGAGAATAATCGACGACATCCACTCCTCGATGGTTTCGAGGTCGAACGTTTCGAAACGTAAAAATAACGTTCGACGTCGAGCAGTGGAAACAACGGAACGATAAACGAGAAGAAAACGACCAGCGAAACCTTTTCAAAGACAGCGGAGACAACGTTTCTGACGGCGACGCTTCCTAATTACCTAATGTCGACGTCATATTTTATATAACGAGTTCGACGGGGGTTTCAACGAGGCACAATAATGCCCTCCTTCCTTCCACGTCGTATAAACGTCCATCAGTGGACGAGGTTTAACCCTCTACCGTACGAGCAATCTATAACCAAGGAAATGTATTTGCTACCGACCGGCTGGAAGGCGCGCGATTGCGCCTCGTGTCAAACGCAGTACGCGTTAGAAATACAGGGTGGCCCGAAATACCCAACTCTATTTATCGGATACTCCACGTGTATCTCGAGAAATTAAACGAAAAACGCTATGAACGAAAATTAATTCAAACACGATCACATCCTTACTATTTTTTAATAGAATTTGTTTCCAATTGAGAATAATCCAAGCAAGGGGGTCTCATTTTAATAGGAAAAACCTCGCCATACCTATCCAACCTTGAAATTTCAGATTTACAACTTAATCCCTTCCTACCAAACATCAAAGGAGGAACCTTACACAGATTTTACCTTAACCTTCTATTATTCGAATAAAATCGTGCCCATCTCTGCCCTTCGCAACCGCTCAATTCTTCCCCAATTACCGTTAAATTGTTTCTTCCCCCTCCCGAGGTTCGAATGCGAATCTTCCAAGGCTTCAGAGAAATCAACACGAGCTTCGCCTACAAAAATAAACGTTATTACCCCTTCTCATTTCTACTTCTTCCTCTAAAGTTCCTAAAATTCACCCTCTAAAAAGAGGGGAAAAAACCGCGGTACCCTGAGAGAACTCGCGCGTAACCATCCACTTGTTTCGCATGCGTTGGTGGACAAAGTCAGACAGGACACCGTGATTTTCTTTCCCTTTTTAGCCGTGATGGGTCTAGTTCCTTCGCTGTATCTGTAATCTCTGTGTATAAAGCCGGCGACTGACTTGCAACAGAACGCTGTAACGTAACTGCTCGACACGAATTGTACGGTTCGGTACCAGCGTTTACGTTACAAGGTCGTTTTTCGAATCACGAATGCTCGCTTCGAACTCTCGGCTGAATTCTCTCTAAATGCTTCCTACTCAATTCAGTGAAAAGTAGACGATCAAAGAGGTTCGTCAAAAAACCGACAGACCAGTGGAGCACGCAAGAGCGCAAGAGTCCGTCCAGACTAAGCGAATTGCTCGCGTTACGTTACAATGTTCTGTTGCAAGTTAGTCGCCGGGCTTAAGAGGTAATACAGAACAAAATAGAGAAGAACGCGACTCGTTTCCCTTGTTTCACGCAACCTCCCCCTGCGAGCATTTTTCGAGTGAAATTATATAGGAGTCGGCTGAGGTTCGCATTAGCGAGTGCATAGCCTAACGTCCGCATGCGTCCACATGGTCGTCGGTGTTTTCGGAATACAAGTCGACGCATCCTGCTCCCTCTTGCCCTATGCGAAGCTCGTCGTCTCCCGATTTCGTCTCTACCGATCCCCATCTTGACCGCGCCCCCTTCTCGTCTGGTCTGGTCTCTCCTCGTCTCTCTCGTCCCTTCCCGTCCCGTAACCGCCCAGATCCGTCCCGTCTCGTTTCGCCTCGCTTCGTCTCGCTTCGCCTCGGCTCGCCCGTACCGCCGGTGCGGTCGTGCGGTCACGTTGATCGATCGTTACCGTGTAACGAAATACGGTCCTCGTCGTTTCTCCTTGAGCGCGCTCTTTGAAAAGGGCGCAGGACAAAAAAAGAAGAGATCCTGACCAGCTCTCTCGGACCTCGGGTTTCTAGAGATGCTACGCGAGAGAGGAAGCGAAACGGCGAGGGAGAACGTTCCGTTAGAGCGGGACGACTACGATCGCTACGTAGCCGGTGAATACTGTCATTTCCCGTATATGCTCGCGAAACGTGAAGCAAAGAAAGAAAAAAAAAAAAATGAGAGATGAAAAAAAAAGACAAGCTTCCCGTGTCCTCCCCACGTCCCTTTGTTCGAAGACGTTCGAAACCCCGTCGGTTAACGTCTCGCCGTCGGTTGCGCTCGAAAGTTTGGCACTCGCGATTTCGCGTTGATTGTCGTTCGGAGCTCGTATAAATCGGTGGTTCGTGCAATTGGCGATAGAACGTCGAAACGAACTCGCCCGTCGGAATGATATCGATACGTCGGCTAATGCAATTCTACGAGAGCTAGTCGGTGGAAAAACATGCGTCTAATACTATATCGGTAAGTGTGTTTCGTTAACGTTCCCGGTCTCGTTCATCGATCGAACGACCTAAAAATACTATTGTCGAGAGCGATGACCGCGATCCGTTGGCATTCGAGCGGATAGGAAAATACCGTAAAATCCGGTGCGACGTATTCCGGAGGCGAACTTATACGATAATAGGTTGCTTCATCGATGAAAGGCGTCCCCCCACCCCACCCCACCCTCCCACGGTTTCCAAGATTTTACGCACGGAAAATCATGTCCGGCCGAAAAGTACGGCTAAAAATAAGTCGTTAATACGGACCTAAGCAAATGGATTTTTATACCTGAACAGCGCTAGAGTATCGCAGGTGGATGGAATCGCTCGATGCGTACAGACGACCATTTCTGTTGTCTCGTTCCCTCCATCTGTCCCTGGGTCGAGATGTACGTGTGTGTGTGTGTGTGTGTGTGTGTGTGTGTAGTGTGTGTGTGTAGTGTGTACACGGTTCCGTATGTTTATTCTGCGGCTTTCTGCCCATCCGTCCGGCCACCCGCACACTGCCAACACGAACGAACACGGCACGTACGATCGTTGTGTGCGACCATACACCGTCCGTACATCATATACGTACACGTACACGTATGCACGATACATCTACGCGTATGTAATACATACGTAGGTGGGTACGAACGCAGAGCTAGATGTATCCCGGCGTGTGTACTAGACTAACCCGTATACTCTTTAACGAGTGGAAGAGATAAGTCGCACAATAGGAAAGAGGAGCGCGGCTCTGCGCCCGGATTACGTGAATAAATGAACGCTGGCAACCGGGTCAGCCTCGCGAGGGTTAGTGATCACCTAACTCTGCGGCAAGAGCGCATGATAACCCGGCGTTTCGTAAAAACCGGCCGCCTGAAGGGCGTGCAGCGAGGTCGCGTGATGCCTGTGTATCGTACTCGCGTACAAGCTGGAAACGCTGCCGGAGGAAATACCGCTGGAAGCACCGATGGACGTAGAGGAGGAGGAAGATGAGGAGGAAGTCTGATGTCCCAAGTGCGATGCCGCTCGTGATAGCAACGTCGCCGACGGCCGTCTGTACGGATGATGAGCGACAACCGCGGAGGCCGTCGCGACGCGTAGATGACTCGACGAACCCGTACTCGAACTCGTCGCGTTGTACGTCTGTTGATAACTCTGCCGTAGGATGCCAGAGATCGACGTGGCCGTCGGTGTTACCGACGACGAGGAGGAACTTCTGTCGCTTTGGTGAGGTTGATGATGAAGCTGATGAGTGGTTCGATGCTGCTGCTGCTGCGGCTGGGGCTGCTGGGCCGGTTGCTGCTGAGGTTGTTGCTGTTGCTGCTGATGATTGTGAGCACGCATCGCTCGGAAGTAGTGCTGATAAATACCTGATATGACTGCTTTCTCGTCGGCAGAAATCAGTTCCGCGCCGGACGTGGTCGGCGTCACCGAACTTTGCTGTTGTTGCTGTTGACCGTGATGAGGGTGAGGCTGGACGTGAGGTGCTCGATGGAGATGATGCTGCTGCTGCTGTTGTTGGGGTTGTTGCTGTGGCTGCTGTTGGGGATGATGTCGTCTCTGTTGTTGGGATAGAGTCGCGGCAGCGTTGAGAGCCGCTCGATAGGAGGCTGCCATTGCCGCGGACATCTGGCCGGTAGTGGATACGAGGCCGGAGCCGGAATCGGTGGTGGTCGCGACCACTGCTGCGGTCGCTGATAACACGGCCGTGGCGGAAGTCGACGACGATACGGTCGAGGTGGAAATCGAGGATACGACCGTGGAGGACGGTGCCACAGACGATGTCGAAGACACAGCGGCGGTGGCAACGACGACGGCAGCAGCAGTCGTGCTTCTTCTGCTAGTCCTTCTCGAGGTGGATATAGGAGCGTTCGCCGGCGGCGGGAGATTGTTGACGAAGGGGCTTCTCCTCTCGCGTTCGGCGCGACGATAGTAACAGGGATGTATCATGAGAAGGGGTTCGCCGCCGCCGGGTGGTGGCTTCGCCTGACTGGGCAGTTCGTATTCGACGCTACAGTCCACGTGGAGAGGCTGCGAATAGTCCTTGTAGTCCTTGTAGGAGGTGACGGCAACCGCAGCGGCTGCGGCCGCGACCGCCGCAGCAGTGGCAGCCGCAGTGGCGGTCGTATTCGCGGACGAACTCGAACCAGAGCCGACGGCAGTGGTGGCGTCGAGGATAGTCGAAGCCGCCGGTAGGACGGTTTGCTGCTGGTTAGCCTGCCCCGTCGCGCCGTGATGGTGATGGTGATGGTGATGATGATGGTGGTGGTGATGGTGATGACCGTGTCCGTGTATAGCGGCACCTACCACCACTTCCTTCTCGTAGCAGGCGGCGGCCATGTTGGAAACCTCCTACTATCCAGGCTTCCGCCGGCGAACCGTCGTTTCTTGCGCGCCCGCTGACCAACGACCCACCTCCGACGCTAGGCTCTCATTTCGTAAGATCCTCGCGATTATTCTCCCCAATGATGACAATCCGTTCTTCCCCGTCTCGCCCAGCGTTGAGGCCGCGATTGCTCGTTGGAACGGCCGAAAACGATCTTCCGGCGATCTTATATCCTCTTGACAGCACCCCGATAACCCTTCTTCTTTCTAGTTTCGTCGTTTCTCGATCGTTTTCTACCCCTTGGAGCGGTACTTGCGATGCAAGCGTGTCAATGATCGTGGTACTCTTCTCGATGTCACGGGCGCAGCTTCAAACAAGGCGGAGAGGTATAGACACGATTCATCGTCGTGAGAGGGTCGCCTTAACCAAGGGTTGGACCAATCGGGTATATCCAACACCGAGGAAGCCCCCAATGTACACGGCCAACGAAACGTTTTATCGCATATTTCGTGACAGGAAAGGAAATAAATGCTGTGATGAAACGCTTACAACGTTCTGGAACCGGCGTCTTCTCAGACCAGTTCTATTTTCCGTATCTTTTCGTCGTGACTGCCTCGATTCTTTGTCTTCGATATCGACACGGTATTTCTTTGCTTCCCCCTGAGCTCGAATATCCCTCTTGCACGTAATCCACACTTCACTCTGTCGGGAGCCCGTCATACGAATCTCTCCGACGGTGATATCCTTACATTGCGGTCGCGCTTACGCCTCTCGTAAATTTCTGCCTAGCGAAGCTTTTCACGAACGGTCTAACCGTCAACCGTGAGAACCGTGGGGACTTGGGGTGTATTATACCACGAGTAATGGGCTCTGACGTTCCTGTCCGAGCGTAACGTCGCTCGTTCCTTCGTTTGTCAACCTTTCAGGGACCGTGTTACGTTAACGTCTCGCGCTTCTATCGTTGGCTTACATGAATACGATATTTTATTCGGATTATCTGTCCCTCTTACGCACAACCACACACACCACACAAAAGAATATTCGACCGAGAACACGTTCAGGCTTCTCCGGGGGGGTACGCCATTGCTGCGCGTGTGTCAATTCGTCCGGCGTATCGGTTACGCGTGCACACGCGAGGCTGCGCCTATGATCACCAATACATGCGCTGTACGCGTGTACATATACGCGAGAACACACACCGTACTTACACTATACGTAACTCGATCGTCCCGTACAGACTGCCGAGCTGCGACTGAAAGCCGACTTCCTTTCGAACCCTCGTGTCAGGCCTCGACATTTTGCAACGCCCTCTTCCTCTCTCCCTGGATGTGCTTCTCGTCCACAGCATGATGGTCGATCGTGCGGGTTAACGGCTAGTATCCATGAATCGCGACCATCTATCTACACCACTAGGGGATGACCAACCTTGGGGAAACGTCTAGTTACAATTTCATCAAAATCCCTGTTTCGTTTTCGATATGAAGTGATATTCGGCACGAGCAACTTTTCTTTTGAAATAACGTTATAACTATGTCTCTGTAGTATCGTTATTTAAATTTAAACGTAATTTTATGTAGTTCCATTTTGAAATTGTTCTACGAGCCCCCTTATAGCTCGGGTACCTCGGGATTGCTAAATCCGTACTGCAGCTATGCTTCTAGCTACAGCCCCTGAGGGCAGTATCAACTGATACGAGTTGCTCTCTGTCTTATCTCCTATCGGTAACGTAATCGACCTATCGTATCTATGCAGTACATGTCTCAGAGAGTCGCTAGTGTATTGAACAACTTAAACATCGTTTCACCTATGAAGTTGCACCACAGTTGGGGTGCTGTTTAGAAGCAAAATTCTCTAGATATTTGGAAATGTATTAAAAAATATAAATTAGTAATCTGAATGATATATATTTAACCGATCAATTTTTTGTGGTTTATTCTACTTCGATAGTTAACACATCTGAATTCCTCTCGCCTTATCTATCTCGATACTAATGTATTAATCCACGTTATCGATAAGAGTGCGATAACTACCCCTCTAATTGAAATCTGCTTTTTGTCAATGTAGTATCGTACATTTCTTTATCTTTCTTTGTACACTTGTCGCGAATACTTTCTCCTAACTTTCTATTCGATTACTGTTACATACTCAGAATTCCATGTACATTCTTCGATATGCGTATGTTTTTTCATCAAACGACACTCGATACGAGTAATAGAAATAAATGACATAACGAGTAATTAGAAATAAATGACATAAACCTTTGGACCAAGGCGTTACGCTTCTTTTCCAAAAGTTTCATCACATATTAGGTGAATCAGATGATATCAGACGGTATGTATCACGACTGGAGGCGGGAACCGATACAAAACAAATAAAATTGCTGCGATAGTAGCGTACCCGATGACGTCAATAGTCATACAATTGGTTGATTGTGTTGGTAGCGAGGAGTACGGGAAATGGTAAAACGCAGCAACCAATAACGGTACACCACGCACAACGTTCTTCCTCTCGACCAGTCGCGTCGAGAGCTGATGAAAGTTGTGCTTCTAGTATGTTCTTCGATCGTTCGACTACTGTACACCGTCAGTTTGATTACATCAGCTAGAGAGTACACAACCGCGGAATTTATACCGGCGAGTGTTATGTATCCAGTCAGTCGTTGCCAAACAGTTGGAGGAATGAGACACTCGAGAAAAGACAACTCCGCGTTGTACTTGTGAAACAACAGCAGCGAGTTCATCCCGTATTGCATGGCAGATTATGAGCTTGTTAAAGAACGTCGTCATCACGCTGCCTAAGGGCCTGTCCAAGGCGCCTGGCGTCGGTTCCAATGAATTACCGAAATCTCTGACGAAATTTAACTTTTCTATTTCTACTCTGAGTGATAAGTTGAAGATGGAACAAAAGAGAGCCGCCAAGCACGAAGACGTTCCGGACGAAAGCATGCTGTACAAGGCGGATGTGTGCGTTCGAGGGAAGAAACGGAGATTGGATCACTTAACGTGGGAAGAGAAGCTGCAACGGAAGTACGTATAGAAAAGAAATAGCTTCTGAAAATAATATAAACAATACAGTCGTTGAATATAATATTCTAATTATCGATTTTATTCTATAGGAAATTGAAAAATAGAGTCGCAGCTCAAACTTCTCGGGACCGAAAGAAGGCTAAGCTCGATGAACTGGAGGAGACGGTTAGAAATTTAAGAGAACAAAATGAATTGTTGACACAAGAATGCGCCATGTTGAGGTCGCGAAACGAGTCTCTCGTCACCGAAACGAAAAGGTTGAGGAAAGAAAGGGACGTGAAGAACGCGGAAGAATCGATCTGCTCCATGTGCCAGGGTCGTGTCGGCTGTGCTGTGTCCTCGCTGGGATCTACAGTGTCCCCTACCTACCCTCTGCAGCAGGGTGGAACAACACAGCTGGCATCGTCCCTGATGCTAACCCCAGGAGCAGCAATCCTTCTGAAGATACTGACCATCTACCTCCTCTTGAAGAACTGTTTGGTGACCTCCAAGGAGACGATTACATCGAGCGACTCGAAGAACTTGCAGAAAGCCTTCTGCGAGAGGTTACCGCAGAAGTGGAAGCAAATCCTCATCGAACAAATGAACAAGTGAGTATTCAAAAATTATATGAATCTCTAACTACATCAAGTAACATTGTAAGACTATTTTACTTTGCCTATATCGCAGGAATGAATGAATTGTTAGAAAGAGCAAAAAAGATTAATTGTAAATACTATGATTATATAAAATTGTCGATTTTCGTGTCAAAGTATATCTTTTGGCTACAACGAACACTTCATTTGTTTCTAAAGTAATATCGATCATTTACATCTCAGTCTTCCCTTCATTAATGACATACCGATCGTATCTTGTGTAGGTACCAGTCACGGAAAATACCATTGAGAAACGTGACTATTCGAAAGGAGTGGTGGGGGCGACATCAAAAAATGTGGAAGCCAGTAGAGCCTCTAGAAGCATGAGCACGTCCCAATCGTGGCATCCCGTTTCCAGCACTCTCACTACACCTTGTACCGCGAACACAAGCGCACCGGTGTCGATTAAATCGGAAATCGAAGTAAAACAGGAAGTCGATACGCACGATTTGGACACCGTTTACGGCACTTACGACGAGACTACCAATTCCATAACGATTATTTATCCAGGGGACGAAAGCAGCGTGGGCATTCAAGAGTGCGTTCAAGAAGTGAGCACAGACGGCACTAGCTCGACCGAGGACTCATCGTATCTCACGCCCAATTATTATTACACCAATCAATTTTCACCGTCCTACACGTGCACGGATTCTATGTCACCATCAAGCATACATTCCGAAGACACGGATACTGGTTTCACACAAACGAAATTAGATTCCAACGCGTCCGACTGTGGATATGAGTCGCACGGTTCTCCGACGCCTGATACACGTAACAAAAAGGATACGGTGGCCCTATCGGATCTTTGGCACGAGAGTTTCTCAGAGTTATTTCCTACGTTAGCCTGACAGTTGCATTGACTGCAAATGAGGAACGTTGGATAGTCTCTCTGCTGTGTCTGTGATATATTTAAACCGAACTCGAGAATGACGACTGTTTACTTTCGATCAAATATTTCACTTAAGACTTTTTCGTTACACTGATACACACGTGCAACTACATGTACAATTGATTCGTATTTTTATATATGTATTTGTAACGTTAAGTTAATTTAAACAAAAAAAGACACCTACTCTTTTTTAATTCGTCGTAAAAATTTTGTAGTCACGTTTTTGCGCAACGACCGAATGTTTGTGTATATAATATTTATTAAATGTGTTCTTGTAAGATAATAAAGTGGAGTGGTATTGCTGTGCAACAGAATGCCAAATAAAACGAAAAGTTTAACATTCCTTGTTTATCTCTTGTTATTTGTATTCCATGGAGGGAGGGAACTTGGATTACGTTTTGTTCAAGAGAATTACGGATTTTTAATTTTATATTTTTCCTGCTCCTACATTATGTACTTGTGAAATACTTTGTTTTTAATTATCCGATTAGATTTGAGAAATTATCGTGTACTTTCTATTCATATCTAACGTAGATTCCATAAATAATAATCTCAGCGTGATATAGAAACAAACTAACTGATAAGGTTGACAGAACCTCCAAACATCGCATAAACCTGTATCAATGTTATCCTGATTTTTTTTTCTCAAATGGCAGCCGTTTCATTCGGATATAGCTCTTAACAAATACACTATTAGTAAAAATAAGCTACTAATTAGCACCTTTTATTAATTGTTAGATCATACGGTCAATGTAAAGTACGTGATATAAAATATTCCTGAAAATATTAGCAACAAGCCCTTATCAAGGACAATGGAAGATAACGATGACTGCGAATATCCTATTACTTTATCCTTCGCACCACTTCGAACGTCAATGTTCGTGAAAATTTCAGAAGGCTGCTTCGAGTTGCGATAACATGCGTGTATCGCCAAGTACATACTAGTGTTTCATACAACTATAACGATTATCGAACTCTATGCAAGTGGACGAATACGACCAGCCTATAATAAACGATATCGAGCGAAACAGCCTGTTACTTGTTATTATGTTACAAATACTTTCTCCGGTATGTCTTAACCAAACAGCTTGTCGAAACACCCGTGGCAATACGGTTTGTCATTTTGCTCTTTGAAGGTACCTTTGTTCAATTGTTTTAAACAGAACGCGCACACGAAGTGCTCTGGATGGAACTTCCGGAACATCGCGGTTATGCAACGACCTGAAACAAGGACATTTATTAGCACTCGAGTATCATTAACATTCAACGTCATTATAATTAGTGAGAATGCAAATGATCGCGTGGGAACCTGTAATTGGTTTGTGACATCCCGCGCATAACGATCCTCTCTTAGCGTGATAGTGGGTTTCGCAATAGGGGAGACCTTCATGGTCGAAGAACGAGCCTCCTTGGAACTTTTGTCTACAATCCTGCAAGTTGAAAAACGCATACGTCAGCTAAAAAAACTTGCTCGCGAAATGTAGAAGCTTATTGGGTGTAAACTTGAATTATTAATAAGAAGTGTATGGTCGCCGTGCATCAGTCTCTTTACATGCATTTATGAATGACTCTGCAACAGAACGACCTCAACATAGGAGACAGTGTATCTATGTATGTGTATGCAACCTGTGTGTAGGAGCTGCCCTATCAATATGCATGATCTAGCCATTTTCGACAGCTACTTGTATTTGCGTTCAATCAACCGGTTCATCTTATCTCGAATATCTCCATCTTTGAAAGACGCGAACCACTTGCAAGCCTGTTTTTTTAATCTGGCCCTACACAATCGTGTACTTGAAATTGTACGCGACTGGATTGGAAAAAAAAATAAAAACAAAAGTACGGTCGAGACATTAATGTTTATAGAACAAAATATTGTTCAAAATAAATTGGCACGAACTCGTGCATCAACCAACAGATCGACGACGTCCAGCCAGAGCTGTCCTCGACGAAGACACGTGGCAAGAGCAGCGAACGGAGCCAGCAAAGGCCAACTCTTGTGTCGTGTATGTTTTTGTTTTAATTTTATTTTTATTTTTTTTTTTCAGTTTATTTTATTCGTCATACAATAACTAGCAATTGTTATCAAAGCTCGCACGGTTCATCGTTAAAATACTATCTTCCTAGACTAGAAAAATTTGATCTGAAATTGAAATCAATTCGATATTCGAACAAATCTCGCGAATACTATTGAATCTCAAGAATGCCCTAACTATTACGCGTGTGTTTACTGTACATATATTCGTGTGTATGTATGTGTGCGCGTTTGTGTGTGGATGGGTGTGTGCGGATGAACGCGTTGATGTCGTACACAAGTCGACGAGAATTTCGAAGCGGAATATACAACACGACGACGTGGTCTGTTTATTCCTCCGTTGGACCGGCTAAATCACCTGTTGGGAAAACGGGGGACGCAGGCTCCGCATTCGTGGAGCCTGCCAGCATACACATTTAGGGGACAATAGGGCTTTTTACATAAGAAATCGAAACAACGCAACGCGCGACTGTCGCGTTGTTTATGCTTCCTCCTCCTCCTCTTCCTCATCGTCGTCGACGCCGACGCATTTAGGGCAAACGGGTTTGCCCTCCATGGCGTAAAACGACTTGCCAGACACGGGTTTCTTGCAATCCTGTAAGTTTCACCGTATTTAAAGCTACAATCATCGACCATCAACGATCCTAGAGGCGTCGCTGGAATAGAAACCAACACGTTAAACGATCAATCGTTCCATCTGTACCTACCCTGCAAACGAAACAGTCGGGATGCCACTGGCTGTTCAGGGCAGATATATAATTCTCCATGATGGCGCGATTGCATCCGCCGCACTTCGGGGCGAACATATCGAAATAGTCCTCCCTGCAGTAAGGCTTTCCATCTCGCTCGTGAAAGCCTTCCTCCCCGAATTGTTTGCCGCACTGGGCGCAGAAGAAGTGCTCCGTGTGCCAAGTTTTCTCCAGCGCGGTTACGCATTTCTGAAAATAACAATCGTCGACGTAACACGCTCGAGTTCGGGGAGGCTCGAGTTTTGGCTTACGTCGAGAATAGGGCCGTTGCAGTAGGCGCAACGAGGCGAGAAGAGATTGTGATAGTCGGTCTCGCAGTAGGGTTGACCCTCCCTCTCGAAGAAGTTCCGCGTTCCCAGCTCCTGGTTGCAGTGGGTGCACGTGAAATGTTCAGGGTGCCACGTTTTCCCCAGAGCGGTGATCACCTGAAAGATGAAGGAAACATCCACGTTTCATACGACGAAAAACGACGGCTGAGTTCTTCAGAGATCTTCAGGGTCTATTTACTTGTCCCACGATGGGCTTTTCGCAGGCGCTGCAGCATCCCTTCTGAGTAGTGTTCACACCTTGACGACTCATGTCTGCCTGGAGGTTCCCTAGCATAGAATCCAACTGGTTCTGTTTAGTTTGAGTCGCTGCTGGCTGAGGTGGATAAGGCTCTCCTAATTGCTGTTGGTAGTGATGGGTGGTGTGGGTCTCGGTGATGTGGATCCGCGTTTGCGCCCCCTCGGGTGGCAGCGGGCTCTGGGAGCTCTTGGTGGCTTTGTTGGGCTTCGCGTACGGGGAGTCGGTTACCGTTTGATGCTGATGGGAACCGCTGTTGATCTAACAAGAAAGAAAACGTTTAATCGTGCCTACAGGCGAACTAGGACGAACAAGAGACAGAGGTAGCTCGGAAGAGTTAGCTCGGAAGTCACAAGGAAGAAGAGACTGGACTGCGGAGGCTCAGTGGACGAAGACAACGTACAAGACCCAGAATGTCAAGGTACCGATAACCGAAGAATCTCTCGAAGGTCCCGCGTGAGTTGACCGATGTCGATTGGCACAGGCGAGCTTGCAGACTGGCTGAAAGCTTTGAGAGATTTCGTGGATCACTATTAACCCCCACCTTCAACGATTTCCCACCCCGGCTCGCACGGAAAATCGGAGGAGACGAGGAAAAGGAAACGATGAAGGAGAGAAGGAGGAGCAGACTGACGGTCGAATGGTGAGATGGCGGAATGGAAGTTATTTTGGTAACCTAGGGAGCCAAGAATGGGCAGGAGTAGTTTTAACGGCGCTGTTTTCTCATTCTATAGTGGCTTTGATAGTAAGCAAACATTACAAAAGCTTATTGCACCCGTGTCCATTAATCGGGGGTGTCCACCGATTGCGCAAAGCGGTTCCCCGAGATTCGCGCGTACCTTAAACTCGGATAGAGAAGCCATCAGATCGTCCAGCTCCTTGGTAGCGTTGCTGGCCGTGTGACCGTTCGTGTAGCCTCTTTGCACCTCGCTGCGATTCAGCGATCCGTGCTGTCTGGAGGGATAACCGTCGTAGATCGGTTGGATCTCGGTCGACGTTTCCTGAATGGTGACCTTAACCCTTCCGTCGGAAGAGTAATCCCTGATCGAGAATATCGCGTTTAGAATGAAATTAGAGTTCAGCTATCTTCCTCTACGAGGGATCTTTGTTGCTCACCCATTGGGAACAGCTGTGCTCAGCTCCTCCAGCAACGAGTCCACGGTGGGCCTGGAGGCTGACATGCTACTCGGAGAACGAAGCATCGGACTAGAGTCTCCATTCATTCCTCCCGAGGACACGCGATTCTCTACAATCATCGACATTTCATAGTCACCTTTAACATTGACCTCGCCACTCCTCGACCTCTTAGATCGAGGCTACCGTGCGACATAGCTGGGATATATTTATCGGAAGCAGAACATTCACGTACAAATCTATTGAGAGGGAGCGTTGAGGCGAAACGGAGCCGAGATAGAAAATGAAAGTGTGCGAACTACTGGATGTCTGGTTATCTATTTTGTGTATCTGGCTGTTATAGCAATGGAACGTGTTGACTCACTGCACCGTGATTTATTAACACTGGAACTTAATTAATAAAGTGCTTTTGAAATTAGTTGCTTTTGAAATTTGTTGCTTTTCAGAATTAATTTGCGTTGATTATTGTTTCTCATTTAGTTTAAAAGGTATTGTAGTATCTATGATTACTGGGAATTCCACCGTTAATTCAGACCACCCAACGAATGGATGACTACGGTTGTTGTAAACTTGACGCGAAAATAGGATGCTGACCTCTTTCCTGATAATTCGCACTGTAATGCGCGTTGCTCAGGTCTTGAAGCAGGGTGTCCAGCTCCGAGAGGTTGTTGTTCAGAGAGGGCATTTTCCCACCGCCGCTGCTTTTGGCGATGGTCTCCTCGATGGCCTCACGATTCTGGTAAGTCGGCTACAACAACTCCCTTATTTTACCACGCGATTAATATCAAGCCTAATCTATATATTTTGCAAGCATTCAACGTTAACATGCTCTAACGAAATCTCGATTCTTCCATTTATATTAGGTTGTTCCGAAAGTTTCTTTCGCGAGTTGCACTCAATTATTTTACGTGGTCGTGTTTATATAAATGTATGTATATAAATAGACAATCTAATTGCATAGATATTCGTGTTGTGACAGTAATGGAGCAAAATGAATCGTGCACAATTCAGTAATGTAACAGAAAACATAAACTATCGTGCATGTATTACTTATTAATAAAGCGAAAGAAACTTTTTGGACAACCTAAATATATCAAGAGACGGAATAGCTTCCAAGTTCAAACGCTACCTCGAGTACCTTTGGGGTACAGTATTGTCTCGATATAAGCAACTCGCTATCCCCATCTTTTTGTTTCAAGTCGCCCGCCGAGTGAGAGATCCGAAAAGAAGCGAGATGTCCGTGAAAGCGAGAAGCCAGATTAGTGGAAAGAGCACAGAACATGCGTAATATTTTCTTTTTCTCCAGCGTGTGTACTCTCCGAAACGATACTGTTTGTCGTATGTAGTTTGCCGCTACAAGGAACCCCCTGTATTTTCTACGGGGTTGCTTATTTCGAGACGATACTGGATTCTAGTTTACAATTTTTTCAACGAATAAATGTGCGTGCAATACCAGCCTGGAAAAAACAATGCAAAAAGATTTAAAAATCCTCGGCGGTATACGAAGTGACTCCTTTCGGTTAGAACAATAGTAACGAATGGTAATATTTGTGAAGGGTTCGACTAATTAACTGTCGCCGAGACACGTAAATTTAGATTCGTCCAGGCCTCTCCGAAAAGAAAAATAACGATGCTCCTCGTCGTTGGCCCCTCCGTTCAGGAAAAAGCGCTCTGAACGGTCTGCCAAGTTCCCGCGAAAGCATATTATTTCAAAACATGATGTCACTAAAGGCCACACGGCTTTTGTAAATACATTATCGATCAGGTGGACGGGCGCGGAGGACAAGGCGTCATACACTTTTAATAGAAACATGCCCGCCAAACAGATCACCGAGAGATTTTCGCGTTCGTTGCAAAATCCTCGTTGAGAATCGCCACGAATTTGCTCCGCGGTGTTTATCACTCCTAGCCATGTTCTAACTGGTAAAGGAGCACAAAAGGAAACGAGTAGAGCATCTACATCTACATCTACATCTACATCTACATCTGTATCTGTATCTGTATCTGTATCTATATCTAGCGAATTTTTTTAGACGATAACGATTAGGGGGATTCGCGATCGAAAAAATTGGCGATAACGTGGCAAAACGATACACCCCGATGGTGGAAAGTAGGTTGCACGGTGAGTTGTCCGTCCAAAAATATCCATAGGCGAAACATGTCGCGGTACATCGAATCCTGCGAGCACCCTGGTTAGAATCTCTCGCGAGATCTCGTTCCTCGGAACTCTCGAATCGTGCCCTGCGCTCCAAGGTTGCTGGATCGAAAAATAAACACGGGCCTGCGAGCTCGAGGAACTCGATGAATCGTGGGTTCGCCGCAGAGATGAAAGTCGGTCAGATCTATCTCTCCGCATGTTGAGAGCCCTCTAAAAACATTCTGGTCGCGTTTGATATCATAATGACGATCTTGCGAAGACGAGGAAATTAGATACGCGTACGAGGACAATTTCGTGTATACTTTTGGACCACAAAGATCGAGCCGAGGTTCGAATAAACAGAAAGAATGTAGGCCTTCGTCGAGCTCGAAACAACTTTGATAAGGAATACGCAATATAAATTCCTTGTGAGAGTCCCATACTAGAATTTTTCCAATTTGTACGATCTAATCAAGAATCTAAACAATGTTTCCTCGAGTTTTTCCCGGGATCTAGCGTGCATTGCTCGAGAGAATCGATGCTTTGTGCGCGCAGCTTATGCAACGTCCTCGAAAACGCATCGCACCGGTGCCTCGTATAATCGTAGCATTTATAATCGTTTTTCCTTCGTGCTAAGTTCAAATCAAAGGGATCGAACTTTGTTGCAGCGTACCCATGGGCTCGATTTTTCGAAGCTTGCCGTCGAGACGCGTCGCGACACCACGAGTCGTTCCAACGAGAGTAACGCCGGCACAAATGTCGTGTTTTATGATTTACGTCAGGAACGTTCGTCAGACCGTGAAAACAATTATCCCTGCGGAGGACAGGCGACGCGCATAAATCGCGAGCGTTTTGTCACTGCCCAGACAACGTCCGTTACGTATCGCGACGAATTTTTCATGGGAACCGTTTCACCCTGAACTTTGTACTCGGTGTATTGTTTTTCTTTTTCTTTTTTTGTTTTTTTTTTGGGCGATATGGGACGACGATGGCTGGTGGGCGCGATAAAATCTATTTATGAGCACCAAGGATGTTCGAAAACGCATTTAATATATTTACCGGCGTGTTCAAGGAGATCCCTGGCGTCTCCTTCTCGAGAAACGATCGAGTTCCGAGGAGAAATAAATTGAGAGTTTACAGGAGAAAAGGCTACGCTTCTATTCTATCTCTAGTGGAATTTAATTAAATTTTATTCTTTTTCTTTTCTTGTTCGAGGAGTTCATACTCGCCATCTGTTCGAAAGTGTTCCCGTTTAAACAGCCCATCCTGTATACGTTCGCTAGGTTGGACGCATTTGTTGGAACATGTGTACAACTTTCGATCGTTGTCTCCCCCTTCTCTTTCTAAATAATTACACGCGTTGCACGCTCGTCACCGTGAAACATTTAAATAATGACACAGTTGTTTCTCACGGTGACTGCGACATCGGCGCAATCAATGGCGTCGGTACAAGAGGAGAGACTAGGAGACACCATCAGGGAGTAAGTCATTAAAACAATTATCTATAAAATATCTATTTCCTTCTACTATCCAATGACGATCAGCTTAAAAGGTCAGGAAAATAAACCTATAATTTAGACAAGACATCCGCTAATTATGATGATTGAAATGCTAATGTATTTTACTTTTCTGTTTACCCTTTCTATATTATGTAATCCATACGTATACTTCCATAATCGTTACCAACAACTTCTATGCTATTTAAACAATTATTTCCCCTACCCTGATAACGAAAGCTATCACTCACACGTTGTCGCGCTATTTATTTTTCAACGTCAAAGTAATAATAAGACAGGAAGCAAAGAATTGTTAACGGTGGAACATAATAGATGCCTTCGAATCCAATATTTCGTGGCATACGATTGGCTACTATACCAAATCTACTATATCAAATCAACTATATCAAATCTACTATACCAAACGTAAGTATAGATCACAGGCGATTCCTCTTCACAGTCTGGCCCGCGAGACCAGCCAATCTCCTTAAAACGATCGAGACATTGGACACGAAGAGAACGGGGCAATTAATTTTCGGATGAAGTTGTAGTTTCTAGTAATGTATCGGTTTTGGCAGTTTCCAACTGTGCAGTTGGCTCGCGCGACTCCGGTTTTCCGCTCGCTAGAGAAACGGGACATTTTTACGGTCATAGTCGAACGTCCTATAGCTGAATAATAGATAAACATCGGTCGCTTCTACGCGGAAGAATCGATAGCTCGACGGGGAACGTAACAGGTGTTCCGCGGGAAACGATCGATCATAGTTTAAACTCCCCCCCCGCGAGAACTCGCGTTTTATGCAAAACCCTTTTATCTCGTGTTTATGATTTCCGTTCGAGCGCTTTATTTCATCTTTCCGAAACGAAACCGACGACAAACATAACGATAAAACGCGAATAGCTTGTCAGGGTTTCCTCGCGATTCTCTCTTTCGCTTTAGGGACATCTTAAGTGGGTATTTTTAACGCTCGAGTCCTTCCAAATGAGCCAAATTTCGTTTACGCGTGTATATGTTTAACCTTTCCGAATTAATGTATAACCTTTGTGCTGAATTATATAACAAAGAAAATTCTGTGTGACGGTATAATTTCTTTAACACTAAACCTACCGACGTTTGTATCTAGTTTTACTGTGATCGGTCGAATGACTGTTTTTTAAGCTACGTCAAGATGCCCATATCTCAAAAAACATTACAGCAATTAAAATAATGCCACTACATATTTTTCCCACCATCCCTAATGTTCCTTCCGCATATCCACCCCGGGTTGCGAACCTCTCCTTCAACTCGAACCCTCGGAACACCAATTTAAGCGTAGTTAAAAGGTTAAGGTCGGCAGAGACTCCCTGTAACAGGTCAATTTTCCTCGCGAAGAACGTGTCCCGCCAATGATCGCCGATAAGAACGAACGGCGTGGAATTCGACGCGATTAATCATCGTGACGGAACGACCATACGTCAAAATCAATTGAGCGTGGAAAAGCGAATCAGCGTCGCGGCTCGAATCCAAGTTGAAAATTCCGTTGGGAAACGGGACGACGGTTTTTTGGATTCGATTCGGTTGATTAAGGGCGCTCAAGTTTTTCCTAGAATCGTCGGCCATCTTGTTTGGCGAGTCTTCATGAAATCGCAGGGGAAACACGAATTGGACGCCGCGGTAATCTGAGCCTACTTCTGCCCGCGGTATCCGATTTTTTTTTTCTCCACGGGAGTTTTTCTGGCCGAGCGAGTCTACGGGCGATATCGATTCTAATTTTAGCCACTCCCTTGCGTCATCCGCGCGTAGCCTGGAATGTATCTATTTTGCACGGTGCCTCGTTCCGCGAGCGTGCCTCGATTACCTCTGAAATTGGAAGAAAACGACGGATTTTATTTTCGAACGCGTGGGAGGCGAAGCACTCGGCTCGACTCTGTTGTTGCAACGAGCCGTGCGACACCCGTTTTCAACGCTAAAAATATTTTGCAAAATCGATACGAAATAATGCTCGGAAACGAAGGCGTTCGATTGATAAGAATCGAACGTGCTGATGGGGTCAAGCCAGTGTTTATAATATGACAAGATATTAATCGTTAATCTATTAAGTCTCTGGTAACATTTCCATTTGTTTCTATAATAAAACCATACGACTTTTAATTGCTCCTCAATCACATACTTTAGAACAGCATACATACAAATTGTAAACGTAACAAAATCGTAGGTAAATATTTCTATTCAAACTATGATAATATATGTACGAATACGAAGGCACAGAATTAGTTTCTGCACCTAACATTAACGAGATAAAAACTGAATCAACAGCTTTAATGAGAACGTGGCAGGAGTATAGGTTAAAAGAGAGACACGATCGAGTTCGATAAGGGCCAGTTCGAGAGCACTTGTATTTAAATGTAATTCATATTATTAAACCTATCCGTTTGCTTAACTATCCCGATTTCCGCGAATGTCATCGAGCAGACATTTCCGCGACTGTCACTATTTTGAGACATTATGGAAAACCGAGCGAAGGTCATCGTGAGATTTGAAACAATCCCCGAATCGCAAACTACGTGTCACCCTCGCCATCTATCTCAGAACGCTTTGAATAACCGAGACTTCCGAAGATCTGTCGATAAACGACACGAAAACGTAGTTCCCAGGTTGCGACGAAAAGAATTTATCGTGTATCGTGAATCGTTTTTACCGACGCCTTCGACGTTTTTAGACGGTAGATATAATCTTGTAAACAAAATGAGGTATTCAGGCTCGAAAGACGCTTGTCCCGCCATTAAATCCAACATGGCGGACCAAACAGGCTTCCCGCGCATGTTCCTTATAATATACTTTGTTGCCAGCTACAATTCGGCACTTTAGAGGTTAAACTATGTTATGGTATCTGGTTTATTCAAGCTTCTACGAAATACTGAATTCTATTTACGAGTAGTAATGCTTTCGTTTATCTGACAACCTAATCCCTTCACTTGGGGAACACTAGACCTGTCCAAACCTGTTTACATGACAGTCGTATAGATAAGTTCTTAGGAAACTCAATGACGTCGAAAACAGTTGCAACAGTTTTCTATTTCGGATGGAGACGTATCAGACAACTGTTAGACTGGACTTATTGTCTATAGCGTAGGTTTCTTCATGCGTTACGAACAAATTATTGACGTTCGATGATTGCTTGATAAAATAAACAAAGTCTATGTACTTACCGATTGCGGCGGAAGAGGCGAAGTTCGATTATCGTACGATCTGTATGCAGTCGTTCGTGCACCGTTCAATGATCCATAACCAGGAGTCGCGTTGCTACCCACATGATTTCCTTCCGACGAGACAGTATTTTGCAGGTCTGCCAGCAACGCATCTGAAATCAGAAAATTCACTGCTGTAAACGACGTCGAGAAGCATCTTTAATTATTCTTAACCGTCGTAGGAAGATTTAATTGAAAGATCTTTGCTTCTGGGTGAAACTAATTGTCTATCTAGAAATAACTCGAGGTTGAATGTCACGTTATACCATGGAAATAATTGTGCAGTTGATGATGCACACGCAATCAAATTTCTTTATCGTTTAAGAGTGGAACACGAGGCGTGAGATCTGTTCGCAAAACGATGCCATGTTTTCCCAACAGGTGTCTCACGACTTCGCACTTATTCGAAATTTATCAGTTCTCAAACTGTTATGTTTATAAATAGGATTGCTCGCGTGGCTTTCGAAAAGCTTCAGCATTTTAGAAATATATATTTCTCACTGGTTCTTACGTCTTACCAGCCAAGACGTGCTTGTAAATATTTGTATACTTCGCCTAATGTTTGTTTAGGTACTAGAGGTGACGTACAGGGTGCGAGACAATTTCCCCTTTCTTTGAATATCGCTAAAATAACTATTACTATTACTAAAATGAGAATCATGGGCTTATTGTTGAAAAGAAAGCATATATTCGCGGGCACTACAGATACCTTGGGACAGTGCAACAAAAAAGAATAACGATGACGCACGAGCATTGTCTAGTAAGCAAAACCCCAAGTGAAACAGAGAAGACGCCTCGACGACACGAGCTCAAGAAAGCTGAATATTTACCAAGGCTCAGAAGATTGGTTTCTGTTTTCTCAGTATTGTACACCTCGTAGAGATTTTCGATCTCGATCCGGGACTCGCATTCTGCTTCCATCTCGAGACAAATCGCGCGACACACCCACTGTTCCGAGAACGTCGAACTCTGATACGGATTTCCGGTTGAATCAAAATCACGAACAGAGATGTTTGCGAAATCGTCGCGACCGTGTCACTCTTCGCGAATTACTCACGATCTAAAGAACAGACTCGAGTAACAGCGACACTGAACCAACGATAACGATCTCTCACTGATATTTCCAAAATCGTATCGTTTCTCGCGCAAAGAGATTATACATGGAAAATCTGCGTTCAGAAATTCCCATGGAACGAACGACGAAACAGTACTTCCTTTGTGTTTTTACGGGAACAAGCACTGATAACAGAACCGATAGATCGTGTCACGTGTCGCGGCAGGAATGTCGAGCGGACTCGTACGCGTCAAGTACGATCGGCAAAACGGTACTGATTGTCAATAAAGTTCTCGGTAAAGTGACCGGCTTCAGCAGCCTGGAGGAGGCAGGCTGGAGAAGGAGGAGGAACAGAAGATGGAGGGAGTATTCTCATAATAAGGGAAGTAGAAACGCGATGCTGGCTTCGAGGTGAAGGAAAAGCAGCCTAGTCGGCTTCGTGGATACGAAGAAACGCGTCGCATCGGAACCTGTACACACGGCAATCCCGAATCGAGCAACTGCACACGGTTTTTCGTAGAATACGAAGTATTCCCCGAACTAGCTTGCATGGGAATATTCTACGAAATTTCTAGAATGCTAAGGTCAACGCAACAGTGCCTTCCATTTATCGACCGTGGATATTATACTTCGCGATCGACAGGCCGATAATTCGAATTTACGAATAGAGGACGCAGCCCTCCAGGGGGCCCCTAAAAATATCGAGGTTATGATGCATCTCTTCTACATTGTGCTCTATCCTAACTGAAGTGTAAACTGCGAGGAAGAAGCCGGTCCGAGAGAGATGCAAGATGAGTGGTTCCGGTGGTACTATCCTATAGCAAACTTATGTGCGGAGGAAGAACAGACTCCTCTTTGTTTGAATTTCGCGGCACTCTAGGAATTATTTACGGATTATGTACAGATTTGAACTTTATTTCCTTTTTATTTATATATGAAACGATAGAAACATTAATAATAATGACATAATAATAAAATAGTATACATAATTTACATACCATAATTTAGATCATACAAATATATATAATTTGGTATAGAGCTAAATTTTATTATTTGCCACAATTCAATTTATGTTGTATTTATCCAATTTTATGCGGAAAAGAATCTGAAAGTAACTCACTCGACAATGCTCAGCGATGCTCGGGTAGGTTATGTTACGGCGTACGTTTGTTCCCCCAATACAAATAAATTTGCTATAGGATGATACCGGAACCACCCATTTTGCATTTCTCTCGGACCTTCGTCGCCTCTACTTCTTCCTACAGTTGTTCACACTCCAGTTAGGATAAGCTCAATGATCTTCTACTATTTTTGAACATACAGGATGTCCCAAAAATTTTGTAACACCTTGAAAGGGGTGGTTCGGGAGGTGATTTGAAACAACTTTTTCCTTAGCGAAAATGTTGTCCGAGGTTTCGTTAAAGAGATGTTAAGCGAAAACCCCGGCCAATCAGAGCGCGAGTATGCCGGTTAAGCGTAGGCTACGCGATAGGCGGCGGCGCTCATACGCTACCGCGAGCGCTCCATCGACATCCTCGCGCTCTGATTGGTCAGTGTTTTCCGTTAATATCTCTTCAACGAAACCTCGGACAACATTTTCGCTAAGGAAAAAGTTGTTTCAAATCACCCCCCGAACCACCCCTTTCAAGGTGTTACAACATTTTTGGGACATCCTGTATTTTGATAGGTATTATAGCCAATTGCGAGCTACGCAACATCGACAAATAAATGAACGTACAGTCATCGAAATCAATTCTTTTACATGTTTTACCTATCCCCATTCGATCTAAAGATGTTATCCTGAAAAAACAGGCGGTCGTAATTTCGAATTGTGCCACGCAACGAACGGTGGCCGTACGCTTGAATGAGATGCAGACGTTGGCAAAAAGCCTGCCAAGCTTCCTCGAACCTATTTTGTGCTTCTGAATCATACGCGGTCAATTCGGACATTAATATTGCGCGACAAGCTTAACGCAATATGGTCGCGAGTAAACGATGTCTTAGACACCTGGTAACGGGACTCCATGAACGATAAATCGTGAATCGCAACTCGAATCTAGAATCTAGCCTTGGCACAAGCGGAAAGGACAGCCTCGACTGACGAGTGCACTTGACACAATCGTCGACCATTAGGGGTAATTGTTGAATAACATGAAAGTTCTTACTAAAAACCCTTCCAAAGCTTCGTTATTGTTCTATGAACAATTCCAAGTAGGAACGAGGCAAACGATGTCGAAATTAATAATTAGTATGGTTATCGTATAATCGGGCGTTAACTCGTACACTACAGCTACTTACTGATGTATCGTTCCCAGCGTGCGTGTTTTTGAATCGTCGCCAAACGAACCGGTGAGATCGGTGACACAGGTCTCATAACGTCGGTCATATTATTGCTTTCTTAATAACACAGCATTAAATTCTATCCGAACAGCGGGAATTTTATTCTCGACCGCGCCAAGAATACGAACAACCGCGGAGAACGAAACAAAAACAATCGCAAACGATCACTTTCGTCTATCCAAGTCTCGAAATCACCAGACACTGATTTCCGTGGGTCTTACAACCGGACATATAAACACGGAGGAAGGTTAACGACGATTACGAGATCGCTATCCGTACAGAGAAAACGTTAAAAATAAACTCCATCTGTTGCCAATTACGTTTACGATGGACTTTGCGTAGAATCGAAAAACCACGGCGACACGTGCTTTCGCGAGAGTTACGAAAATAAACGTTCCCCTTCGAGTCGAATTATTCCCAATGAAGATAATTATATCGCGATGTATCGAACGTGTCCCGATGGATTTGTAAAGGAAAATAATAATGGGAAGAGAAATGTGAGAACAAGACGAAATCTCGTGCTAGATCGAACGAATAGAAGTCGTCGGAGTAGAAGCAATGACTATTATGAAATGAATAGCTATATTTCCGCACTCTAGCAACGATCTGAAATTACGGGGGCTCCTCTGTACCCTTATATCCTGTCACGTGCGAGTATCAAAAGAAAATGAGCTTCGCGAGTAGATTGTCGATACAAGTTAGAAACCACGTACACATGTGTTTGCGGGATCAGACGAAACTGGCAGCACGTGTTGTTTCTTGAGCTGCATTTAGAGGATCTATTACGTGAATTCATCTCCTCCCCTTCCAACTATCGCTGTCTGTTTCTCTCTCTCGTTAACCTTGTTGCTGTGCTTTTCTATTGCACTTATTTTCAAGGGTCAATTTGTATCGAAGATCACGAAGCCTATAAAGGTAAAAAGTTGAATTTATATCTATACTTTAAAATAAACTTGAAACTGAAATGATCCGCACATGTTTCTTTATTTTATCTGGCTCGCTAGCAGAAATTGTTGTGCACCACTAACCTATATATTCACAATGACGACAAGCTTCTCAAAAATAACCCTGATCACCGAAACTACTCGCTGTTTCTCCAGCTGCTTTGGTTTTAGCATTTTCTATCGCCATGTCACGAACTAACCTTCTTCTAAAGAAAAGTACTAAATGAGAAATCGATTAACACTAAGGCATGGAGATGAAAGAAATGGTGTCATAAATGCATCAAATCCAGAACGTTTTGTTCCGTTAACTTAAAGTAAGAATCGATAGAGGGCCACACGACCTACGTCAACATTCTGCAATATCTACAACGGTTGTCGTTCTCAACGACACACTGGAATGAATTGCAATAAAAAACTTGCGAATTAAGCAAAATTGCTACGATATCACGATCGACGGCCATTTCGTACAATTGTTGTGTTGAACCCACTGACGCAATACATCGAACGAATGTGTAGGAAGTCGAATCACGCAATCTATGCCCAATATGGACGTGCGTAGATCAACCTGGATCAACCGACACGTTTCCTCGAGGAGGAACAAGAGGTGAGGTGCCTACGCGCGTTTACCTTGGATCACAGAGTGATCTTCAACGTAATGATATTCATGGCAAGCAGGTGCAGTTTCCGGAAATATCTAAATCTGAAACTGATTTCAATAGTCTAGTACATTCTAATTAGAAGTATAAGCATGGGTATCTTTATAGCTAAAGATGGAAAGTACCTGAATCTTTCTAATTAACAGAAAGAGGTATATTATATACGTCATAATAAAAGTATGACAATTGTGTAGGTTAGGTTAGTTTTCAGTCGAGTATCGTCGATAATGCTAAATCTGGTGTTGATAAGGTAGCACGCTACCCTGAAATCGTTATTAATATGTCCACGAGATGGCACAAGTTCGAGGATCGGTACACAGTAAAGCAGATGCTTGAGATCTATGCAGTTCATCACACTTGTTGCCATGTGAAGGGAAAGTCAGCTGCTTCAGCACCAACCAAGACACCAGCCCAAAACAGAAGGGTCTCGATTGGTATCGAAGGTGGTAACTTTCTCCTTCTACGGCAAACATCTCGAGCGATTACTTTGCATACTTTTAATTCGAACTCGATTGCAACGGTCCTTTACGTATATGTTTCCATAAAGAGATCGCTGGTAAATAATGACTTCGACAATTATTTCAGAAGGTTTAGTGTCAAGGCAACCCACGTCGTAGGTGAAAGGTATTCCAAAAAAAATCGCGCGAACTGATGCAACGTGAGTCATCCTTTCGGGCAGAATTAAATGTGCAGCTCAAAAATAATTATGAAATATACGATAAGACTGACATGCTCTTTAATGTTTGTTTAGAATGCATTTTTTCTGACCTATATCGTTGACGCAATCTGCACGGAAAATTGTTTTTATAAAATCGCGAAATCGCGTCAAATTCGATACGCGATTGCATAAACTAGTTTGCGCGTTAACCTTTGAAAGTATGCCAGAAATATCGTTTCGACAGTGGTTCAAGAGCACAATAATTCGTCTGGATGCAAATAAAATTAGATAATCGTTCGTGGTTTCCGCTGAATCCTATTACTGAATATTACCTAACTTAATCGTATCGTTTTTACGATTGAGGTAACGATTACGCGTACCACTCAAATAACGAGTCTAAAACGTTTCAAAGCGCGTCATAAACTGACAAAAAAAAAAAAAAAAAATAATAATTCCCATCCCAGGCAATTGATCTTAATTTAAAAGTCCGTCAGTGTGCATTACCGCGCACAAAGTCACGCGTTAGCGCAAAACATGCAGCCAGATACGAATGAATGCGGTAAACAAATGCCTCGACGCTAACTTTATAAAGAATGGACACCGAGAACAATTTCTATATCATAATTCTGCTCAGTATCCTTATTACGCATGCAAAGAGGTCGCATATGTGCGCGCACGCATCTACAACCATTAGAAACAATTCTCTAGTGTCCGCTCTTTTATACCACTGCTTAAGAAAAAAAAAAAATTAACAACACGTTAGAGTTCGTATAAAACACGGAACGCAATTATGATTAATCTGAAACTCACATCCAGGGGAAGAACCCTTTTTGACGGTGATTTTGTAGGGTTGATAGAAAGCGCCGGGATCTACTTTTCCGTACATCGTTCGATCCATCGCGATATCTATCTTCTCTTAAAGCACCACTTGTAAATTATCGCACCAGGTATCATTAACTTTTTTTTACCACGCGCGCAAAGGGCCACGAGTTTGTCACGTACACGTACAAATAAGCATACTATTATGCACCACTTTTACCGCGGCAATGCTTCTCGTCGCGGTTTATCGAGCTGTGTGGATCGATCAGTGGTGGGGCGAGATGATGCACGCATCGAACGACCACTTGTTGAATGCCGTCTACGAATTTCATGCGTATAAGATCATGGTAGCTTAGATTGCTTCGTTGACACGTTAACCTCTTGAAGGACATTGACACATGTGTTTCCTTTAATTATTTACAGTTACGATGCCTTCCGAACAATTCATTCAAAATTCATCCCTCAAGAGGTTAAACCTTGGAAAACGACAATGAACTCTTCGTTCATGTGGCGTTGGTCCTTGGAGACCGATATTCGGCTTGTAATTTCGACGACATTATCAAATTTAAGAAACTAATTTTCACGGAACAATTCATGGAAACATTTTAACGCGTATCAACTTCTGCTTATACTTTGCATGGCAAAGCACCTAGCATTAAACATTGTTTGCCACTTGAACGAAAAGTATAGTAAATTTTGGGTATTTATTTATCTGTTCCATCGATCGTTATTCCATTAGAAAGTTCCAATGTCCCAGTACACTTTCTGTTTTAATTTTAATTGCGCACCACGTAGACTAACGTTGAACTTTATACAAAAAAGCGTTCTCTGTGTTTCAGTAACACCACTGATGATTGAAAGCACGATGACGACGACACGGGTTTGAGTGGTATGTATCAACTGTCTGTAAGGGACCGTACTTGACCAAAGGAAAATGAGAAGTTCAAACGTGCAAGTGTATTTCAGGCGCTCGCCCGCGTCGCCGTCTCGTCGATCCTCTCCCCGCATCTCCAAAAACACGAGTAGGACAACGCCACGGTGAAATACACTAAAAATACGTAGAATCGTTGGCACGCAACACCTCTCTGCAGACTTTAAAATGTTACCCGCGTACCTTAGGGGCAGTTTCTTCCGGTATAACGCATCAAGCGCATCATACAAGATTTCTTTAACGTTTCAGACATTTTTTCCGAATAAATAACGTTCAAATAAAATATAGAACCAAAGACATATAAATTCTGTAACGTTTCGATTAAAGTTCAAAAGCGTCATCCATCCATCATTCCATAATCGCGGTAAGTTCATTTTAGGATAACGATCGATCGAATAAATTGGTAACGTTAATCGAGACGAAGTTATAAATAAATCTGATGTACATTCACCGTAAACGAGTACGATTTATTCATAACTTGTTTTATAGCGATCTGTATATACTATAAAAAGGAGTAAGTTTCGTTAATTTTTAATTAAATCCTACACATGTGCAATCCTATGTGTGCGCCTATACGGTTCATGATAACGCCAAGTACCCTACGCTTTTACAATGAATCATACATTATTCGTGTTTTCAATGCTCTCCAACTAAATTTCATAAGTAATTTCTTCTCATTTTACATTTGATAAATTTCTCACCGATGAGCAAATAAAAATTAATTCATCGATGCTGCACTTACGAAATTTCATGCTAGGCAGAAATAATGATACAAATACTTATTTACAATTGTTAATACATCGTTGTAGGAGTAAGATAATAAAATATGTGAACGAAACCTATGTCAACTTAATAAATTGTATGAATACATCGAATTCTGTGATGATTTTGACAGGCTGAGTGATTCAATGTTGAGGTTAGTTCACGTATTTTGAGATTAATTTCAAACTTACTCACCTAAATCATCCATACTTGATATACGTTCACTGTGTACGCACTTTTGGTCGAATTTCACTCGAACTTTAACGTTTTCGATACTGAATATGAATAAAATACGTTGAACTTGGATACCCAACTTGTACGGGTTGGGCAAACTAAATATCAAATATGGAGAATCGGTTTACACTAGTTTACAGCCGCCAACATCAACTTTCTGTTATCTCATCTAACCTTCATACGATGCGATGTATTCCCCGCTCAATTCGAATAAAATATTCAAATACAACGATTACAATCACGAAACTAGTATAAATAAAACAATTGTTATGTTTAATGATAATGTAGAATACTGTAGATCAATATAAATATTTGTATCAAACGTGTTTCTTCGCGTATATTCTTAACAGCGATAACAATAACCAGGAACATGTAAACGATAGTTTATTTGTCGTACAATTTAAAATACATAATTGTGAAAATATCTTACATTTGAAATATAAAATAATAAATAATTCAAATTTATACAATTACTCTACCAAGAAGAAAAATCTCCGAACGAACTTGGCGTGACCTTTTTCTTCTTGACTACAGGCTCGACCTCACCCTTTTCCGCTCTGTAAACAAATTTAAGTAATTAATGATATCATTAAATTGT